TTAGTTATTTCATTAGTGATGCAATGCTCATGTTGCATCATAGTCCTCTTGGCGTATAACCCAAATTAACCTTCCGTATTGCAAATACCTATTAAAACACCTCACCTTAATTGAGTAACTTAAAAATTGTTTACTTTTAAATTTGGCACGTACAGTTTTTGAATTATCTTTATAATGTTGTTGAAACTAGCAGAATACAGCATGAGTACTTTAACCTGTTATAAGGAAATAATTGCCATTTAAGAGAAGTTTGGCTATACAGTTTTAAGTGAAAACCATAATGTCTTATGATTTTTGTGGTGAACAGAACCTTGCCACTGGTTCTTGGAAGGGCCTGCTCACCAGCCTCTTGCTCCAGGACCATGGCCCCTGCAATAGACCTTGCTAAAAAACATTAAAAAGACTCTGTTCGTGCAATTGGGATTATATGGTTCAGGTACCAAACAACTGCACGAACCAGAGAGTCCACCCTGGAGCTTGTTAATACCTATTAACAACTTGGAGCGTTTCTCACCGCAGTGTTCTAATTGTTCATCTGGGTGGCTGCAATTCCTATGGACAACCACAAGGCTGCAGCCATCTTGTTCGCATGAACGCAGGCAGTGGTGTTTGGGCATGAATCTCATGGAACTAAAATCAGACACAGAAACTCCTGAACACCGCTGGACTTCCATCATCGCCTGCGTTCGGTTCTATACAACTTAGAAGGGCACTGTTCTGTGAAATAATTCGTCTGGATGAGGGGAACAAGCTCCAGGTTAAGACTATTGACTCTGTTTGGTAGTTTGTTCGTTTTCAAACTACCGAACTAGACCGACCGCAAGCCCTGATTCTCTGGAACTGTTTTGGGCATGGGACCATGCCTGCGGTCAGTCAAATAAATGACTTCCAGGAAATTCCTGAACCCCTAAACTGATCTGGGTGATTATTGGATATGTTGGTCACCCAGATCAGGGCTATCAGGCGATGTAACTTTTGTAGGGTTTTATGTGTTTTGGGGGTACTTTTGCGGAATTTGGGGAAAAGTGTGTTTTTTCTGTCCTTGGAGATAATTGGATTAGATTAGTACAGTTCCTGATCAAATTATCTCCCAGGCCCAGAGAACGGATTTTCCGTTTATGTATGGGAGTATCATGTATTGTAATACTGTTGTCATTGGTCTGTGACTTTGTAATTCAGTCTTCCATCAGGTCCAATTGGGATTACCCCTTGCATGGGGACTGTTTTAAAAGGCCTTTAAAATCAGTCCACTTCACCCTCAACACGCAGCCTCGTCTTGTGATTGTAGGGAACATCTATACCAGCTATACCTGATTACTATACTGGCTATAATCACTAGCTCTTTTAAGAGCTGCACAGCCAGACCTGCTATACTCTCTGGAGGAGGAGAGGTCCAGAGTGGGTGGAGGAGAGGTTCAGAGTGGGTGGGGTTGGTAAGACCCCAGCCAAGCTGTGGCAGCTAAGGGGCTATGGTGCTTATGGTGTCCAGTGCGGTGCTTATAGTACTCAAGGCGACTAGGAAGCAGAGATTGACGGAGGCCAGCTGGTCCATCACAATTTTAAATTTCATGTTTATGCATGCGCGAGTGTACAGCAGTGACGTCATTCCGAAGAGGACCCACCAGATCAAGACGGCCACACACACAAGGGACAGGTAAATCTCACCTTTACCCCCCAACCACTTAATGCAGCAAAGTCCCAAGACAGTGCTGCTTTATTGGGATGAAACAGTTGTAGTACCTACAGTGTCCCTTTAAAAGTGAGGTGTGAGAGTTGCTGGACGTAAAGTAGATGAGTCTGGCAGAGACATTCACTCTACGAACTGTAGATGGGCTATCTGGGCCCTTTTCAGGCCAGCAAGCAGAGGGGTTACAATAATTCACTGTTAAATTGTCTGTTAATGGTTCATCACTGAGACTACACTCATCCTTAACTTACCCTATCGCAATTCATACCAGCAATGGGCAGCTATGACAGCCTAAGAGTGGTTTATTGCCGCCTATTGCTGCTTGGGATAATGCTTTTTCATTATCAATTTTAGCACAAGGGGTCTGGATTTGCAGCTGCTGTGGATCCTCGTTTAGCATTAAACCACTGAATATGGTTTAACGCTGAATGGAGGGAGGGCTCCAGGGATTCCAATGCACTATAACTACTTCAATGAGATGAAGTGGTTACAGTGCCTATAGTTTCCCTGTAAACAAATGTCCCAAATATTTTTTTCTTTCAGGCTTGCTGGCAAATGCTGGATGTACATTTGAAAGTATCTACCCTTTGGGTTGTCTACCGATAAAACAAAAAATAGGATCCTCATCAACCATCATTGTTCCTGTATCATTTTGTAATTGTCCCTATTATTGTTACATTTACCACTTTTATAATATTGGAAAGCGCTGCGGAATACGTTGGCGCTATATAAATACCAATAATACTAATAGAGAAAAGTATTTTATTCTACTCAAAAATAGCAGACTAGAGTGATTTGATGAGGCCCACAATATGTTATAGGTCTCAGATCTATAGGTCTCAGGTCTGCTTGAAACAACCAGCAGTATAGCCCTTATCCATCCCTATGCTACAGATCCTATTCCCACACATTTACACACTACAGCGTCTATCCAACCACACTACAGCCATTATCATCCACAAACACACGTTACAGTCTTTAATCCCCACATACTACAGCTCCTAACTAATCACATGCACACACGACACTCCTTCACATACGGACTACATACCCTACCGCTCCACATATACAGCTATTACCACGCATACTACACAACAAACAGCCAACAGCACAAGCAGCATCCCAACACATACGCAATACAACAAGAAAACTCACCTCACACAAAACCATTAACAACCCTCCACTTATGCATCTCCACACACATGCAACATCATAAGCAATATCCCCACACACAAATATCCTCACAGACATGCAACACCATGAGCATACCTACAAACACACACTACTACAAGCAGTGTGCACACCCATGCAACAACACCACAGACAGTCTACTCCCAAATATGCAACACCACAAACCACATACACAACCCTCTCTCCTAGCCCCATCTCTCTTGTCATCTGGTGTCCCATTTATGTTTTAATCTAAAACAGTTTGAATTCATCTCAAAAGTAAATTAAGGTAAATTTGCAAAGGAATTTTAAAATCTAGGTCAAAATAACCACACTTGAAAAATTCAACAGCCCTGGTGCCTCATGAACTTGCTGCACACCTGTTTGCAACACAATTAATATGTATGCACTTAAATGTGCCAGCCTGCCTGGCAGCCTTGCCTTCCATCTACCTGAGGCTACCTTTTTGCATCCCTGAAGCACTGTCATATGGGCAATATACATTAGCATGAGTTACTAAGCACCAGCCTAGAAGAGTCCTGCTCCTAGCAGCAAAAGACAGTGGAGCCACAAGGAGGGTGCGGGGGGTTCGGACCGCACCAGGGTGCATCACAAGAGGGGAGTTACACCACGACAACACGCAGGGTGGGGCATCCATAAGGCAGCACAAGCAGCTGCCTTAGGGCGCATTGGCCCAGGGGGCGCGAGATTGGAGTGACTGGCAGGAGGTGGGCACACAGCGCTCTCTCCTGCCAGTCACTCAGTGAAGCATGACCGAGCGGAGCAGACCGCTTTCAGTCCTGTACCCGGCCGGACTGTAAGGAAGTGCTCACTGAGAGAGCACTTCCTGTCAGTCCGGCCGGGTACAGGAAACGGAAGCTCCTGTACCACGGTCTGCTCCGCCCGGCCACGCTACCAGAAAGGTAGGAGACACATGGGGGATGGGAGGAAGAAACACTATGGGACAGGGTAGCAAAGGGGAGGAAAGAACACTATGGGACAGGGGAGGGGGGGGGAAGGAATACTATGGGACAGGGGAGTGGGGAGAATACTATCGGACAGGGGAAGGTGGGAGGAAAGAATACTATGGGACAGGGGAGGGGGGAGGAAAGAACACTATAGGACAGGGGAGATACAAAGGGAGGGAGAGGAACATTAAGGGACAGGGGAGGGACGGAAAGGAACACTAAGGGACAAGGAAGGAAAAGGAACACAGGTAGGGGGAACCACTAAGAGAGAAGGGAGAGGAACACTAAGAGGGGAGAGGAACATTAATAGGAATGGGGGATACTAGGAGACAGGTAAGGGGGGAGAGGAACACTAAGGGACGGGAGGGAGAGGAACACTAAGGGACAGGGAAGAGAGGGGAGAGGAACACTAAAAGACAGGGGAGGGGAGAGGAACACTAAGGGACAGGGGAGGGACGGGAAAGGAACACTAAGGGGCATGAAGGGGGCTGGTGTGACACTGTGAGTTACCGCACCGGGTGACACCAACCCTAGTGATGCCACTGCAGAAGAGGAGAAGATGATGGCTGCTCCTGCAAGGGGCAGGTTAAGGTAACTAAAATTCACATTTGCTTGACTTCACCAGACCTCCAACGGCGATATCACCATCAGGGGTCTTTGCACTGTTGGTGACAAATCTGTTTTAATGTTGGAATCATAGACTACATTGGAGAATTATTCCAAATGTTTCTTAAATTTAGATTCTCTTATGGGAAAATACAAAGGAGTTAAGGGCTGCGCTTAAAAACCATAAATATAAATTAAGCGCAGCCCTTAACTTGTTTTTAAGCGCAGCCCTTAACTAATTTGTCTTTTCCTGTTTTTCAAGGGTTTTTTGAAGGATTCCCTTTTGTAGGGTTGCTGCTCTTCCATTTGTCAGTTAGCGCAGACTCTTCCCCCCTTTGTTTTTTAGATTCTCTTATGTTCAATTAACCGCAATCCATGTTTTACCAATTAACCCTCACGGTCATAAAATGACAATCTAGACTTCTCTTTCGTTTAAGAATTCAAAGAAAACACAATTCTCAGAAAGTAGCATGAAACTGAAAGTGGTTAGAAATTAGAACTGTGAGCAGAAGGCAGTTACAGATTAATGAAAAACATGTTCCGGAAGCTCCACCTTCCTTCCTGAGTATACAAAACAGAGCTGCAATAGTTGCAAACACTTCATAGCGTTTGAAGTCCGATGTCATCTGAAACATGTCTTCTGCAGGCTCCAGTCAATCCTCCCAGCGTGGACTTATACTCCTCATAGCAGTGTTACTGCAATGTGTTTTTGTTGCTGTCACATATGTTTACTTCACAAATGAACTAAAACAGGTATGCTGCATTTTTACTAGAACCTTCTGGAATTTAGCACCGATAAAGACACCCCATGTTATGCTGCATAGTTGTGTGGTGATGGCTGGCAATTTCTGCAATTTAAGCGCCTGTGGAATATGACTCAGTCAAAAAAATCATGCTCAGTCAGCACATAAACACAGGGTATTGACTAAACTCTGAACTGTAACAAACAAATCTGAATTGCAAAACGGAGGCTAAAATAATTGACCTGGAAAAAAAATCCAACAATAGCCATAGATTAGTTATTTTTGCTTTAATTCTGCAGTTTGGATTTTAATTCGCTACAATTCGGAGTTTAGTGAATAACCTTAGCAGAAATATTCACTACAAGTGGGAATTGTTGGGAATCCAAAGAGATTTTCCAATTTTTATTTAAAAAAACAAACAAAAACAAACTGACAATATAGCTGACTGGGAGAATTTTTATAATTTTGCTATTTTGGTGTAAAAGTTGAATTGACTTTGATTTCATTATATTTCACACTAGTAAATACACTGATTACCAGTAGTGGAACTGCAAAAGGTTGCCTGTTTAGAGAACACGTGAATCTATCTGTTAATTCCTCTTCGCACTCATTTCTTCTTTTATGTTCCCCTTTTATTCTCTGTCTGCCTTTCACGTTTTGTACTGGGGACGTTAAGGTGCAGGAATTTTCTTTGGATGAAGTTGCAAAAACTTTTTGACTATAAATCTAGATTGTTTGTTTAGTGCAAGAAAGTAATACAATAGCATTGTGGGGGGGAAACTTCTCGTGTTTTTATGTTTTTGTTACATTTATTTGTTATTGTCTGTTATTGCTCTGTCAGTTTATGACTCGCTTTACAGAAACTGTACAAGGAAAAAAAATAATCTGGCTGGGAGTGTGAACCCAGAAACACAGTTCAACTCTTCAATGGGGCTATTGTTTGTTTATGTTTTCAACTGAACAAACTCTGCAGCAAGTACAAACGAGAACTGAATATAGTCAAAGTCCACTCCAACTGCAGGCAGGCAGATTGTGCATAGTTTCAGCCCAGATGTTATCAAACTGATTGTCTATAGGTAGGATATGGGAGTTGTAATCCACAGAGGCAAGCTTGTTACATAAAATCTATCCCTGCAAAACCTGTATCTTTAGAGCTATGCACCATGTTATAGCATGTTTAACCCCTTTAAGGACCAAACTTCTGGAATAAAAGGGAATCATGACATGTCACACATGTCACGTGTCCTTAAGGGGTTAAATAGATGTTTGGTGTGATTTTCTTTTTTTAATATCTTCAAATGCAGCCGAGTCTCATGCCGAACACCATCCCCCAAGATCACAGGCAGGCTGGTCATATGTAGAAACAACTTTTCACTATAATCAGTTTTTGACATCTTGTGGTTTTAGTGTTGCACAGTCTGTTACAGATGTTTCAAATTAAATGGGGTGGGTGGGGGGATGATAAAGTGACCGTAGGGATGAGTGGGGGGTTCCCAGGGCTTCATATCTGCACTGTACAGCAAATATTTGCAACTTGAGCACAAATCTTTCCCCTAAAGTCAGCAAATCTCAGTTCAAACGACTGCTGGAAATATCAGAGGTTGCTCAATCAGGAACTTTATAGAACTTTATATTTGCAATTTTAATGTAGTCAACCCCTGTATTTATTTACACATTCAAAAATATTCAAAGGGGGTGGGGGGGACCATGAGAGGAGAAATGTACCCTTGTAATGTTTTGCATTTTGGCTACACATTTCTACCCTGTTACCTCAAACATAGGTTGGACTATAACAGATACACAACCTGATTTCTTATGTTAAACATTTACCGAGGGTTTGTTTTTATCCGAACATATTAGGTGGAACCTGAAAGATTTGATTTATTTCCTTTCTCTCCTTGTACATGTCTTAAAGGTCAACATTAGTGATAAACTAAAATGATTGTTTTTCTGTTTTATTCCTCCGTCACCTTTTGCACCATAGGTGTGCAAACAAACTCTATTACACCAGCAGAATCTATCAGTATTTACAACCTGATTATGTTTTGGAAAAGAATAATAAAATGATTTATGATCTAAGCCATAAAATGTGTGTTTTGTCTACCAGATACTTTTTACAGAAAATTATTGGTCAGTACATTTACACACAGTGCAAAATAAAAGGCATATATGTGTTCAACTTATTATTAATTTGATAGGGTGGTGGTTCTTGAAAGTGAAACTGACTTTTCTTGTTTACCTACCCCACAGCACGTAACACTGAGACTCCATCCTGTCTACATTTGTTTTGCACAAATGAAACACACCCAAACAAAGGGGATTTGTAATTGCAATTTCAGCATGCATTAAAAAACATGAGAGCAAGGGTTTTCCCACAAGTCTAAACAAACGACAAACAGCAACAATATACAGTAGATCTTGCTGGGCACTGACCTTCTTCCATCAGAGGAAAAACATATAGGATTATTTACTTAAGTGAGAATTCAATGTGAATTTCAAATTTAGGGTTACTCTAACATGGGGGTTCCCAATGATTTGTTTCCAGTGGAACCTCTTGTCATAGTGTACCAACATAGTGGAACCCCAAAATAATTTTGCAACATAGTGCAAACCTTTTATTTAGCAGAGTATAATGTTTCCTTTTTTTTTTAGCAGATTATATATATATATATATATATATATAAAACATATTGTAATCGTTAGGAGCAGGTGTGCTTTTGTTTGTGGAGTTTGTATATAAGTTAAGCGTTTTAATACAGGGGTTTGTTTGTTTGTTTGTATGTAATGTTTGCATTTGCATGCAGGGGTGTGTTTGGCCTTCAAATGCGATGCACATTTGTGTGCAGTATTGTTGTTTGTGTGAAGGGTGTGTTTGAGTGTTTATATATAAATTTGGAGTTTGAATTAAGGGGTGGTTTTGCATGTAATATTTGTAGGGGTTGTGTTTGATTGCTGAGATATATGCACATACACTGCCACATACATACATACATACTTACACAGATATACATACACATTAACACACATATAAACACGTTGACACATACACATACATTCATATACACACTGGCACAAATACACACAGACACAAAGATTACACATTGACACATGCACACAACTTGACACACAGATACACACACTGGCACATACACACGTACTGAGATATACACACACAGATACACACACTGACACACAGAAACACATACTGGCACATACACACATTCAATACACACAGTAACACATACACACACCTTGACACACACTGATACACACTATCCCATACACACACAGTGGAACAAACACACACACTCAGATATACACAGTGACATATATACACATCTTGACACACATTGGCACGTACACACACCGATACACACATACTGACATATACGCACACAGATACTCACTGACAAACAGATACACACACTGTAAAGTGCTAGAAAGCTGCTTTCATGTACAAAAAGAGCTTTTGATTCAGTCGCTCATCCAATTATAATTTTTCCTCTTTACAAATCAATGGTAAAACCACACCTTGAGTAAATGGTGAAATTTTAGGCACCAGTTTTAAAAAAGGAAATAGCAGGAACTAGAAAAAGAGGCCAGCTACAAATCTAGTAAGGGGGATGGAAAGCATTTGTTACGAGGAAAGGCTAAAAAAACTAGTTATGTTTTCTTTAGAAAAAAGGCGCCTTAGAGGGGATATGAAAGCACTATACAAATATATATCCAAATATGCTGACAATTATGATGTATCTGATGGAGATGGTGCTGGAGAGAGAGAAAACAGCAGCTATAAGAAAACACATACTCTATGCTAATCTCTCTCTAATTTATGTTTTCATCTTTCAAGTAAATCCATAGCCCCTAACAGCAGTGTCCAGTCAAGCAGGAAGTCAATGGGCACCGTAAAAGAGTGGGCCACTGACTCAAATCACGTAACCTACCAAGAGGGGCGAACATGCCCAAAAAGAAGACATGTCTGCCCAAAGAATTGGAAGGTCAGTCTGGCATGAATGCATGTCATGCTGCCTGCCAATCATGCAGCTGGACAACTAAGGGCATACTATGCAGACAGCACCCTGAGCTTGGCATAAATGCGTCTAATGATGCGCTCGCTCAACGCTTTCTAAGGACTGTCCCCTAGCACTCGCTGGTCCATTTGTCTCCTTACCTTCTTACTAGCAGGCAGAATATCCTGTTATTCAGTTTGGGACAGAGAAAAGCTGTCGTGAAAGGGAACATGCCACAGTGTTACAGAGACCAAAGTCAGCATTACCTTAACCATATTCATTGTCAGCCAGTCCACACAAGTTTTGTTTCCATACATCCCTCCTAAGTTTCCGTACTTACGCAAGAGTATTTGAAAAGTAGTTAGGGTTGCCACCTATCTTGGAAAAACATACTGGCTTTACTAATTTGCATAATTAATTATGTATGGGTGACATCACATGATGTAAATCACAAGGAGTGACATAAGAGAAAATGCTGTACAATCACCAAAAAACTACATGGTTTGATTCTCCCCATGTCTCCCAGTGCCCCCATATCTCCCAGTGCCCTAATGACTCAGTGCCCCCATGTATTGATTGCTCCAGGTCTCAGTGTTCCTATGTATCAGTGTATCAGTGCCCCGTGTCTCCTAGTGTCCCTTAGACTACCAGTGTCCCCTAGTGTCATGTCCCGAGGTCTCCCAGTGTCCCTATGTATCACAGTCTCTCAATGCCCCAGGTCTCCCTGTGTCCTCCAGTATTCCCATGTGTCTATGTCCCCATGTCTCCCAGGGTCCCCATGCCACTAGGACACTAGGAACATGGGGATACCCGGGGACACAGGGATACCTGGGCACACGGGGAGACCTGGGGACAAGGAGACACCAGGGACACTGAGCGATTAGGGGATACTGTCTGGGACACTGGGAAAATAGGGGACACTTGAAGACATGGGGACACAGACACTAGAGACACTGGCTGGGGGACATGGGGACATTGAGATATGGGGGCACTGGGAGACATGGGGACACTGAGACACCAGGGCCACAGACACTAGTGCCAGTGGGCTTGGAGACATGGGGACATTGAGACACTTGAGGCACTGGGAGACATAGGGGCACTAGGAGACATGGGGAACAGTGAGACACTGGGAAATTAGGGGATGCTGGGAGACTAGGGGGCACTGGGAGACATGGGGACACTGAGACACCAGGGACACTGGCTGGGACACTGGGAGACATGGGGACACTCTCTACAGAGCGCTCCGGCGGCTGAAGTATGAGGGGGGCCGGTGCTCCTGGCGGCGCCCCTTCCCAAGGGGCGCCCTAGGCGGCTGCCTAGTCCACCTAACAGGTAGCGCCGGCCCTGAGCACATGCATTGTGGTTGCTATGGGTGGACCTCAGAGGGACCTCGATTTGTGTCAAACTGTTTCTGCTATACCAGAACGTGAATCCTGAACTCCATACTGTGGCTCAGAAAATGCAGATATTGACCTCTGTATTATTTATCCAATATTGAACAGGAATGAGGGCCTCTAGTACGGATCATGCACAACATACCTTACACATTATATTACAGCAGAGGTAGCTGGGCTGTAGGCCTCTGGGACAGCCTCATATATCATCAAACCACTCAAACTATGTTATCTAAAATGGTGGACAACCCAGTAACTCTTTATCCTATAACCACTATAATGAGATCTTGAGGCCTGTTTAAGTAAAAATATATGTACCGTTTTCCCTTAAAAATAACACCAGGTCTTGTATTAATTTTGCTCAAAAAAATGCACTAGGGCTTATTTTCAGGGGATGTCCATTCGGGGAAAAACAGTAGGAAGCATGTGCAAGAAAGCAGGTCTACATTCGGGGGAATTCATACGTAGAACATAGACCAGTTCACTAGAATCCCGCAAATCTATGTTCGGGTAAAATTCCTCGTACATAGATTATCAAATTAGCAAACTAGCGACGATCTCAACTATTTCCGGGGTAGGGCTTATATTTTGAGCCTATGATGTCTTATTTTCAGGGTGGAATGGTTTACTTCCATAGCATGGCTATATTTAACTAAAGTTGTTAAAATGCAAGCTATTTAAACTCAGGAGTCTACCATGTACATTTTCTAACTAAACCAATAGATTTGTTCACTACAAGCAGGAAATTGTAGCAAATAGAGAACAGTGGAATGTGAGAATTTTCCAAGTGTAGCTATGTTATCCAGAATTTTTCAAAAAAGATTTGCCTTGTTTTAGCCCCACCGTTTATCCTGTTATGCTTCTCGTTTAATCTAACATTTCCCTACAGGAAGCATTGCCAGTACTTAGTTCCACAATAAACCAGAATTAAATCATCATCCTGTTTCCTTCAGTGAATGCGTAATTTAAATAATTTATGTACTATGAAAGCCGGACACGGAATTCATCGTTTGTTTTATTTATTTATTCGTGATGTACGAATAGTATCACAGTGTATTTTAAAGTTGTCACAGTTATTTTGTATATTTGGATACAAATGAGGAAGTAACAAGTTTAGATTTGTCTATAAGAATAGTTATAGGCTAGCCTCTACATGAGGGAAATTCCTATATTATAAATCATGTCAAAAGCTAAAAGGAAGACAATAAACCAGGAACTAAAATATGAACGTAAAATTGAAATAGAACAGCTCTGTTACAAGGCTCAGCATTTGCTTGTACATAACCTTGGGACTTTATGTATTACTTTCATAGCATCCATGGTATGGCTACTAACAGGTTATTTAGATCCGAAGAGGGGAATTACATATCCGATAAACCTCTGCCGGTCATGAGTTTAAAATATAAGAATCCATAAACCAGATAGAGAAGTTCAAGGTTTTGGAAGGGGTCCACTGCTATTTTCCAGTTTAATATGAGTATCAGCAGACATTTTAAAGGTATCTTTTGGTTGTATTTTATTTCCCTTTACTTTTGATCTGTATCATGTAAATAGTCTTCCGGAATAGCTTCTTTTTTAGTTCAAAACACTGGATGCACAGCAACTGAAACCTTTCATTCATGCTTCTTCCAAGGTACATATTTCATATGTCGATTTCTAAATTTCCCTCCTAAGGAAATAGTATATTTTCTTGCTTATATTGTTAGCCTGGGGGTTGCAATTTGCCAAAAACATACACTACACTATAAGTTGATGGATGGATGGATGTGTATCCAGGGAAATAAGTCTTCTTATATTTTTATTTATCTAGCTACGGGAAAACGACATAAAAAACAATATTGCCTGTTTGATTGGAGACAATATGGGAAATATCTTCCAGCCTGTTGATTTCAAAAATATTGACACTACGGACCCATGCTGGGGAGTAAGGTATCAACTTCAGACTTTAATCAAAAAGGTATTTTTTTTTTTAATTATAGTTATTATTATTATTGTTTCATCTGTTTCAATGCTTTATAATTTTTATTAGTGTGTTTTGTGTTTGTCTACGTGCATATTATCATTGGAGTCATTTTCTATAATATGTTCTGCAAAATATGTTAAAGGAACACTTTAGTGTTTAACTATTTAGGTGATCACATGGGAAAGGTTTTTACTAGCCTTTTCTCTTACCACATGCTGGCCCCTTTTCCATGGCTGATATCATCAATCTTGGTGATCTTTGCCAATCCAATGCTATCCCATAGGAAAGCATTGGGAGGCTAGTGTCCACTCATGTAAAAATGCCACATTGCTACAAACAGCATCTCCTCATACAAATGTGTTGAATCAATGCATCTATATGGTGAATGTTCAGCACCTCTATGCAGAGCGTGGAGACGTTGCACATAGGTGCTGCACACTGTGCAGCACTGGATTTGGAAGCACCTCTAGTGGCCGTCTAAGTGACTGCCCCTAGAGGTGTTCCTAGGAATCAATGTTAACACTGCATTTTCCCTGAAAAGGTAGCATTTACAGGGCTCATCCTGCCGGGACATGCTATAAACACCAGAACAACTACATTAAGCTGTAGTGGTTCTGGTGACTCTAGTGTCCCATTAAGTGTAATGACTTACAATTTAACATTGTAGATATAGTGCCATTTCTACCCATACGGGCATGCCTCAGCTATGTGCATAGGCTGTGCTGAATAGCTACCTTGCCAGACATTCTGTTAAATTGTTGCTGGAATGACAAATCCCCGCCACATTATACACATAGAACACATGCTATTGAAAGTTGTGGTCGATTTTGTTTGACTTGCTGTTAGAGATTCTGGGCTTTTTCAGAATTATTATTCAGTAAAAGATTTTATTTGTCAATCAAATTAAACCTAAAATAAATATGGTGATGCTTTTAATATCCAACAATCTGTAACAAAATGTATTTGGGCTTCCTTTCAGATTGTGGCAAAACAGTACAAGCCAGAGATGCCAGAACAAGGTATTTTTTTATGTATTAATCTATATTGTATAACAATTTTGTTTGTCTTTAAATAGTGAGATTAAATATAACTGACTTCCATACAGCTTGGGTAAAATATATTACAGAGAAATTCTAACAACCATAAGCACTACTGTTATATTATTTATTATAAATTATTATTTGCAAGGAGTCTTTGATCTAAACCCCAACTCTTTGTCCATGCAAATCTGTCTGACATTTGCTGGCAGTGATATAGGCTTTAAATAGTGGAACCGGATTAAACATATGTTTTCAGGCTATCATTGCAGTCCTGGATACATCAGTTATAAAGTCAATACATATCTCTATCTAGTAACTGAGACTTTGGGAGGCCAGGTTTCCTCCATCATGCTGGTAACTTGATAACCCTAGACAATCCGGTCCCATGCTCCCACTCTTCAGCCCCAAGGGGTGCCTGTGGTGATCCTGCCACAGTACAGACTGACAGCACTTGTACCAATCTCCCCCTTGATAGAACCAGATCCCTCACTTGTGTAGAAGTGAATGGAGCGAGCAAACAATGGCTGCCAGGGACAAGTCAATGTGCTGCCGCCCCTCTCCACCATTCAAGTATACCCCACAAATTAACAACCCGGAATTATTTAACTATTAAAGAAATATACAAAAATTGTGCCTTGCTGACCTCAGAGAAACCAGTAAGGCATGGCACACGTCACCTCTCTGGTGGCAGCTTTTGGTCTTGGTGTTGTCATTAAGAGTAACTGTGTGTGTCCAAATACTATAGTTCATGGGAATTATGTCATACTGTGAATTTACAGGCCAGCAATAACAATAATGATTCCATTAAACGATTATATATTTTGAACAATAATCTGCCCCCCGATAAACTAACAGTGTACATATATACACTCATATACTAAAAAAAAAAATCCCCTGTTTTACATGCAAAATAACTGGTTTGTCGTAAATGCTGTATGAAGCAGTTGCAAATGGTCACAATTGCAAAAACATTTTTGTATTTTATTTACGTAGGTAAACTTTTGGAAAGAACGATTCCTGAAATTAGCGGAAATCCAAGCCAAATAACAGCTGCACACGTAACCGGAACTAGGATTAAAACTTCACAACCAACAGAAAGTAAGTAATTAACCTTATACAGTCATACACATGAAATTTGGGGAAATATACAAGTGGGCTAGCAAAATAATCTAATATCTAGTACCTAATAAGGAGCAGTGCAAACATTCAACTTCAGAAAAGCTTTCACCTTTGAGTTATAAAAGCAACTATGTTTAGTAGGATATTGATCATTACCTTACGTATACAGTGTATTTTTATATAAATTTATTTTTCTTATTTTTTCTTTATTAGGGTCATTGGCAAACAGGTATGTGGGACAGAAAATAGCAGACTGGAAATCTTATAAGCAACCCTCCTTCTTGACCAATATTGAAATCAATAACGGAGAGTTAGTGATTAAAAAGAGTGGCTTTTATTACATTTATTCTCAGACTTATTTTCGACAACAGGACAATACAGACACAGAGAAAGGTATGGGAACGGAACTAATTCAGTATTTATATAAAGTTTCAAACTACCCAAATCCTATTCTTCTGATGAAAAACATAAAGACTGCTTGCTGGTCCAAAAATGCAGAATATGCACTCAATTCAATTTACCAGGGCGGAGTTTACAAATTTAATGAAAACGACCGAATATTTGTTGCAGTAAGTGATTTCAGTCTTGTTGACATGGATGAACAGGGAACCTATTTTGGAGCTTTCTTGCTGTTCTAAACTCCAAACAAGAGCTTTTGAGGACTGTCAAAGAGTACTGTAAAACACCAACGTTCTACAACGCGGTTAAATTCATTAACAAGCATAGCAAGCTTTGAAATAGAAAATTCAAATGTAAGTGATTGCCTGTACTCAAATTGAAGTAAGCAAAGGATTTGCCATGCCACAATCTTTGCGGTGTACAGTGCTAGGCATCCATAGATGTACCAAACCAAATTCAACACTTGGAAAAAAAATCCCCTTGAAGCCATAGCAGGACCAGTAAACATATTGTAGGAGAAGATATAGCAGGAAGCCTTGTTGATTATAGAACAATGAGGCAGACTGCTGCATAAATTGGATAAACTAAATCAATTTATTATTTTACTCCCCCAAGATTTGGTTATTAAATAAGGAGTTGATCTGTAGAGAAAAGCCAAATGTTATCTTCCAGGAGGAGAACACACTTTATTGCAGCCAAAAGGTACACTACCCACTAAAACCAGCTGTTGTGTCCCACTAATGCTGAGTACACATTACTATTTTATGGTGTCCACGTTGTTATTGTTTAGGGAAGGAATAGGTCATGTGCAGTGGTACAAGCCACAGGATATAAACATTCAAATGAACACAGCTATTACAAATTTGTCAAATTATTATTCTTGTAGTACGGGGAAAGAGAGAAATGTATGCTTAAAATGAGTTTTACGGTAAGTGCCTGTATAAAACCTGGCTGTCTGTAAGTCGCTGTGGGTGTCAAAAAAGATGTTGCTCCCATCCTAAGTGGAGCTTCCCGAGAACATTTCTTTGAAATGATAATATTCAGCTTACATTAAGCTATATGTGAAAATGTGTAAATATGTAAATAATGTTCACTGTACAGCTACACAGATCAATCTGTCTGATTGCTTTCAATCGGTTGGTCATTAAGGGGTTTGTGTTTTTTTTGTTTTGGAAAGATTGTACAGTGATATGGAAATGGATGGAAGAGAAAGTAGAAGAACAATACAAATCATATATTTTTTTATAAAATTAAAACAATGACAAATAACTTGGACTTGATGCATTTTAAAACCATAAACACGCCATTGAACACACCATTGATCCACAGGCTAATATATCACTGGATGTATGTTTAGTTGAAATACATCATCTATATTGCATACTGCACAATAGAAATGGACATATGAAACACTAACATTAATAGTTTATTTCTATATATACATATAAATGTAGCACATGGCTATTATTTTCCTACAATGCATATAGGCTATGCATTATTATTCTCACTGCATCACATAACAAGTAATAACACACGAACTCAATATTGTCATCAAATTCATGCATTAGGTTTAAAGTATTGTAAAATAACATTGTATTTTCTTATCACTTTTATGTCTTTAATAAAGGTATTGCCTTGTCTAGACTGACTGCAGTGACTTAATATTTATCTCTTGTATGTTCTCTGTATCAATTTTTATTTTTTATCTAGATAAATATATATTGTATTATAATGGGAGTCATGGCCATTACAATCATAAGCCCGGGGGGAGGAAGGGGGCGCAAGGCCTTGGTGACCAGCAGGTGGAGAACACATAGTACTCCCCCATTCTGCTAGTCACTCAATGTAGCAAGGCAGCCGGCACCACGATAGAGGATATCCTCCTGTATCCACTACCAAGTCTGGCAGGAAGCTACTCGCTAGGAGCAATAAAAAGCTTCCTGTCAGATAGGGTAAAGCAGGGGTTCCCAATTAATTTTTCCCGTGGAACCCTTTGACATAATGTATCAACATCGTGGAACCTCCCCACCCCATAAAAAAAAGAGAAATTGCGCCGTTGCATAAACTTTTTTTTTTGTGCCGTTGTATGTGACACACAGATACACACACACACACACACCTTGACACACAGTGTGTATCTATGTGTGTGTATGTATGTATCTATCTGTGTGGCAAAGTGTGTGTATCTGTGTTTGTGTGTGCCGGTGTGTGTCTGTGTATCAAGGTGTGTGTATCTGTGTTTGCATGTGCCAGTGTGTGTATTTGTATGTCAGTGTGTATGAATCTGACACACACACTGGCACATAGTGGCACACAGATATACACATCCTGACACACAGATACACACACCTTGACAAACAGTGTGTATCTGTGTGTGTATGTATGTATCTGTGTGTCAAGGTGTGTGTATCTGTGTGTCAAAGTGTGTGTATCTTTGTTTGTGTGTGCCAGTGTGTGTCTGTGTATCAAGGTGTTTGTATCTGTGTTTGTATGTGCTAGTGTGTGTATCTGTGTATCAGTGTGTAAGAATCTGACACACAGATACACACACTGGCACATAGTGGCACACAGATATACACACCTTGACACACAGATACACACACCTTGACACACACACACTCACAGATATACACTGTGTATGTTTGTATGTATCTGTGTGTCAGAGTGTGTGTATCTGTGTGTCAAAGTGTGTGTGTCTGTGTTTGTATGTGCCAGTGTGTGTCAAGGTGTGTGTATCTGTGTTTGTATGTGCCAGTGTATGTATCTATGTGTCAGTGTGTACCTGTGTGTGCGTATGTATGTGACATGCAGATACATTCACTGGCACATAGAGGCATACAGATACACACACTGACACACAGACACACACAACTTGACACACATATACACACACTCAGATACACATACACACACTCAGATACACATACGCACACTCAGATGAACACAGTGACACATAACCACATCTTGACTCAAAAATACACACACACTCAGATACACACAGTGACATATTCACACACTTGCACCCACAGATACACACACTGGCACATACACACACTCAGATACACACATTGATACATACACACAGTGTCATATACACACACTGACACACACTCAGATACACACACTGACATACACACACACACACACACACATAGGCACATACAAACACACTGATATACACTGGCACATACACACAGATACACACACATTGACACACGGATACACACACAAACTGGCACACACAGTGACACATACACACATTGGCACGTACACACACACACACACAATATGACATACATCAGAGCCACCCTCCTGTTAACTTACCTTCTGTGTCCAGGAGGGTGGCTTGCGTGTGATGTTGCCTGAGGCTGATGGGAGTGAGCTGCTGCGTGCTCACTCCAGCCTCTCCTCTGCCATCTAATCTGCTCACTCTCAGGGCAGCCGTCTTCTGCCTCCTCCCTCCCTACCGCACGGCAGCAACTCCGTGAAGCTGGGAGGAAGTACTATCACTTCCTCCCAGCCAGCCGATACTACAGGGGCCCGGTCATGCAGTGGATATTTTGTTTGGGGAAATCATGGTGGAACCCCATTTGTGTTCTCTTCGGAACACCAATTGGGAAACGTTGGGGTAGAGGATACAGAAGTCCATGCAGCCACTCTACATGAAGGTAAGCAGGCACACCAAAGGGTGGATGGAGAAAAGAAAGAGACACACATAGGGGCTAGGGGGCACACGAAGAGATACACAGAGGGACTTGGGGAGGAAAAGAAACACACAGAGGGGCTGGGGAAGGGGAAAGAGAGACTTGTTAGTGAAAAAAGATACACACAGAGGGGCTGGGGAAGGGGAAAAGAGACACACACTGAGACTTGTCGGTGAGAAAGATATACACAGAGGGGCTGACTAAGTGGAACAGGTGACACATAAAAGAGGGTGGGGCAATGATACACAAAAGAGCATGGGGGAGAGACACATAGTAGCAGGAAGAGTAAGAAAGAGACACACACATACAAAAGGGGCTTGGGGAAGAAACACACAAAGCAGCAGGAGTGAAGAGAGAGACACAAAGAGCAGTGTTTAAAAATAGGGAGTTTAGAAGGAAGGTTTAAAAGAATACAAACCACTCAAAAATCCCAAAAGTGGAGCGCTCCAGTGATAATATATACTCACCCCTACTGTTAGGGGTATTACGTTGTGCAATGCAGCATATATATGAAAAACAGAAATGGGGAGGGAAAAGAGAAAAATAATCCAATGGTGGAGTATATTGAATTAGGAATCTGGTTGATAAATATGGTAATGTTATCAACTCACAAGTGTAGAGCCAAAGACCGGACTGGCTCAAATCGCTTATACTCTGGTATCTTTTATGAGACACCTCCCTTCTTTCAGACACCTTCTTTATTTCTTAACAAGAAAACACATAAAAGACAGGAAGAATTCCTTTCTAGTGTAGTATTTCACTGGTCAAAACTTAATATTCAAATATATATCAGTACCAAATGGTAAAGTGCTCACCTTATTCAGAGCCAATAGGATAAACCTGGCTCTGGTTGGTATCACTTTGAAGAGCAGTGTTGTTTGACACACAAACGGGGAAAATGCAGGATAAGATAATCTAGAAGGGGTAATACGTTCGAAAGGGGGGTTAAGAGACACACAGATGAAGATGCCCTATTTTGAGGGGTTTGAAAACACATAAAAGACAGGAAGAATTCCTTTCTAGTGTAGTATTTCACTGGTCAAAACTTAATATTCAAATATATATCAGTACCAAATGGTAAAGTGCTCACCTTATTCAGAGCCAATAGGATAAACCTGGCTCTGGTTGGTATCACTTTGAAGAGCAGTGTTGTTTGACACACAAACGGGGAAAATGCAGGATAAGATAATCTAGAAGGGGTAATACGTTCGAAAGGGGGGTTAAGAGACACACAGATGAAGATGCCCTATTTTGAGGGGTTTGAAATGCACCTTCACGTATGTAACCAAAAATCCTTGTTTTGGCTCTGAGAGTAAAACACTTTAATCATATTTAAAGCACAGTCCTTGACACTAAATACTAACTTAGTACCCTTATATTTTAGCATAGCTAGATAATTTAAATGCTTAGTCACCCCACATGTCCCCAGCCTTTGGCTGATATCCAAGGTTGGACATATTTGTATAGATAAGACGTCAGAATTATCTGACTGACAGTAGTGAGACTGGCTCTGTGTGCTGAGAAATTGTTAAAAATAATGGTTTGAGAAAACTAGTGGGTAACCCCAATAATCCATTGCACCATAACCAATTCAATAAATTGTAAAATAAGGTCCTTTTAATAGTAGATGGTGTAAATGTGTAAACGGCAATTCCCATTTATAGATTGTGCTACAAGGTCTTGCTTTTAAATGAATCTCCTGCCAAACCTGTCGGTATTATTTAGTTCGATTGAGGAAAAAACATGGATACATTGTCAGATAAAAGAACAAACAGAATTTTAAAAAAAGACAGAAATGCAAAAATTAAAAATGCTGCTTCATTTTTTTCTTATTTTCCTGGCACATGCTTGTGGGTTTTAAATGAATTGTCAATTTGTTAAAGATATTACTAGCTTAGAGTAGAGTGATGTCGCGAACCGTTCGCAGCAAGTTCGCGAACGGTTCACGACATCACTAATTAACACTCATGCTAATTGACATCAGAATGCCTAAAGGCAGAGAGAAATACCTGCCAGGAATTTAACCTGCAACCCTTAGGCTTGAACAGTTATTATAGCAGGTCCATTAACCAACTAAGGCAGTGATGGTAAATCATTTTAGCCTATGTGCCCAAACTGCAACTTGAAACCAGCTTAATAATCTCAAATTGCCAAATCCCTCTGTGAAACTTCACACAAATGTCTATACAAATATATGTAATTATTTATTAAAGTGAAAATTCTGAATTAATTTCAACTTTATAATCAAACAGGAAAAAATATTTGTTTTCATACTTTGGCCCTAAAAGGTTGCACCTTCCACCATGACCGTTTTTTGCTATAAGAAGTAGTCATGGTGCAAGCTGTCTGCATGTGTATGTTTGTTTCAAACACTGCCTACAGAGAGCTAGTCTGTATATGTACTTTTGTGCCAGAGTGTGGTTACATGAACAGTGTTCTGGACTGATAAAAGTTTAATTCTGTGCATGAAAACCATCTGTCATCAGCTACTTCACTTGCCGTTGGCACTGTAAACACACCTGCAACGTGAAGGCTTTAGAGCTGTGTGCACACAGTCTAAATGAATGCCCAAATTGCCCAATAGGCTCACTGTAATTGTACATGGCTCCCAGCTTCTTCCAAGTGACTCACTTTCAGGGTTCTGCACAACACTGAGAATTCAATGTACGTTTTCAAATTTGAATGGTAGCTGAATTCTCAGTTTAGTCAGTAACCATGGTAATATTAGGCACCGTTACAATATATTGAAAATGAAAAGTAAGAAATGTATAAATATTTTAAAAATCAAATCAAAAATCAAAAGCAAGAGTTTACAGTGGTTCATAGAATGCTGAAGAAAAAAATAAAATTGTCAAAAGGCAACTTGTCAAGCCCCTGTCCTTTGCAAATTCCTTTAAATATAAATTATTATTGAAAACACCATATGCATACTTTGAAATGTAAAGACTTTGAACATGACGATGTGTAGAAAAAAAAAGCTGCCAGTCATAGACCTGGATGACAGCTGCAGATACTTCAACAGCGGCAGGTGGGTACACTGCAATACCCGCTATTGTAGCACTCATTGTGGAAGATATTGTACATAAACACAGATTAAGGTCCATATCTACATCTTCCACCTGTAGAAGGAGCATTAATACAGCATAAAAACTTTTTTCTAGCTTTTGGCATTCTGTATGGAGATTTTACTGGACCGGGTATTTTTGCACCATAAACCAAAGGTTATTAAAGGGACACTAAAGTCACCCAGATAACGAAATCTCAGTAAAGTGGTTTGAGTGCAGCAGCCCTGTCCTTTTAACCCTGCAATGTGTAACACTGCAGTTTCTTAGAAGCTTAGGGTTAAATCCACCGTTAGTGGCTGACTTCCTGACTGCAATTAGAGGTCATTCTTCTGCACTGATTGAGTAAAAGTCAGTCATGTAACGCAAAAGCACATAGGAAAACAATGAATACAATGGTTTTCTATGGGAATGTGCATCAGATTCACAATGCTCCTCTATAAGTAGCATGAGTTGGAGCATTGCCGAGAAAGCCATGCCACCTTCATAATGTCATAAGGCGGAGAGGTAAGAATCGAGGGAGCTTCGGTACTAGAAAAAGGTAAGTAAAACATGTATTTGTTTTTATTTTAAGCTGGAGGGGCGGGGTGGTCCATGCAATTAGGGAACACCATCTGGTGGTCCATGCAATTAGGAACACCCAATGGATATTGCTGAACAGGGGTCAGGTCAGATGCCGCGGCCCATTTAGAGTGCCTCTGGCTCCTGTAGTATTGGCAGCCTGGGAGGAAGTGACAATTGGTCGCTTCTCCCCAGCTTCATAGAGAGAGTATCTTGTTGAAGGGAGGAAGAGGCAACCCTAATCCTATTAAATAATTACTAGATGATATTATTTCATTTTCCTGGATATAGACCAGCTATAAGGTCTCACTAGCTGGTTAGTGCCAGCCAGACTGTCTAGCTGCCAAAACAAAAATGAATCCTGTAGCAAAATGTGCCTAAATATTAGAAGATATATATACAGTATGCAGTAGCAATAATAAAACACAACTTGCTGATTATATAGTACTTTATATACTAAGTGTATCCAAACTTGGGACTTCAGTGACCATCCATGCTCTCTTCAAAGTTTCAGCCAGCATAATGGGAAATTTGCATTACTTTCCTGAAGGTACTATGTTCCCTACAAAGCTCTGTATATTCCAACGTGTGAGTTTATTTTTAAAGTTAATGAGATCCAAGTCTCTAAAAGACTCAAAATACGAAGCAAATAAAATATATAGTGACTTATCCAAGAATACAAGAATGGCTAGAACAACTTTTTCATCTTGCACTCTCAAGCTAATGAATGAAGGAATAAAATATACATGGATATTTCAAGTGGGCTTAAGAGTGAATTTCAAAGAGAAAATAGAAATATTTAAAGATGCAAAAGTTTGTAACTATGGTTACAAGACAACATAAAGCTTGACAAAGACCTGTTTGGTCGAAACGTTGCTTCTTCTCATTTTGTGTTTTCATTTTTAATGGAGGAAAGAGGGATAGGGAAAAAAGTTTGGGTGAATAATGCGTTAAAGGAGCATTTTTACAAAAGGCACATATTTGAATGTCAGGAAGGGAAATTTAAAATTGGGAATATTTAATAATAGAATAAAATAATTCCTGTATGCTAGGTTGAAAATGCACATATCTCTGTTTGATAGGAAAGAAAGTTTAGATGCACCTAATAACATATTAATATGTAATATGAGAAACACATTCAATACACAAAATGACCATTTTCAAAGGGGTACACAATTGAATTAAATGAAGGACAGCTCACGTGGAGAAAGTATAAGAGAGCTACTGATAGTCTGCAAATTGCTGAGTTAGATTCCTAGTAATAGGAGTCTGTAGTGTGACCATAGATCCCTATAGGGGATAACCCTTGTCAAAATAGAAATAGAGTAGAGAATGGAGTGGATGATCCCTAACACGATGGCTCAGGGAACACCCAAGCAGAGGGATCCATGGGTTTGCACTAGTGGAATACTTAAAAATAAAAATTCTTTATTATAGGGTACAAAAAATCCCCCCAAAAAAGGAAACTTACAATAAACAACACTTAAAACTAAACACACAGGGGGGGGGAATCCGAGTTGGAAGCAGCAAATAATCTATATCTGTAGAGGGATACAGAATGCTGGTAGAAGGATATATAATGAGACTCATACCATCCCTAAGTAATTCTTATGCCATAAAAGACAAAAAAAGGAATTGTGAAGTCATAATAAACTCCACTGTGTAGATAGGGCACTAAAGTAGAATACTAATAGCGCAGGTACAGTCTACATAAGCTTGTTGCAATGCTCAAGTCATTGGTGTGAAGTTTAGTGAGGAAGCCCTTACTTCCAAGCCAGTACACATCCCACTTGGTGAACTAAGTTGCAACAATGTACTCTGAAAAAATAATAATTGGAGGAGTATAAGCACAGGCTGCAACTGTAATTGATGATTAAAATAAAAAAGCATGCGACCTGCCGGGGGTCGCGTAACTAGTTAGCATGGAGGAGTCTCGTTCGTTATCGGAATTAACCAGACAAATCGCTCCTCCATGCTAACTAGTTACGCGACCCCCGGCAGGTCGCATGCTTTTTTATTTTAAATCACGGCACTGATTTAAGGGTTCACGGGGTGGGGGAGAGTGATTCGAGTTTGGACTAGGGAGTATTCTAGTCTCCCTTTTATGGATTGTTAGGATTTTGAGCTATAGCGTTCATACAATTCTCGTAGATTATTCTGAGTTTATGCAGCAAGCTAGCTAATATTGCACTCTGTGCCTACACTGTTCCTAATCTATATGCAGCAGACCGGCTGATAGAGTTACTATTGGATACAGTTGCAGCCTGTGCTTATACTCCTCCAATTATTATTTTTTCAGAGTACATTGTTGCAACTTAGTTCACCAAGTGGGATGTGTACTGGCTTGGAAGTAAGGGCTTCCTCACTAAACTTCACACCAATGACTTGAGCATTGCAACAAGCTTATGTAGACTGTACCTGCGCTATTAGTATTCTACTTTAGTGCCCTATCTACACAGTGGAGTTTATTATGACTTCACAATTCCTTTTTTTGTCTTTTATGGCATAAGAATTACTTAGGGATGGTATGAGTCTCATTATATATCCTTCTACCAGCATTCTGTATCCCTCTACAGATATAGATTATTTGCTGCTTCCAACTCGGATCCCCCCCTGTGTGTTTAGTTTTAAGTGTTGTTTATTGTAAGTTTCCTTTTTTGGGGGGATTTTTTGTACCCTATAATAAAGAATTTTTATTTTTAAGTATTCCACTAGTGCAAACCCATGGATCCCTCTGCTTGGGTGTTCCCTGAGCCATCGTGTTAGGGATCATCCACTCCATTCTCTACTCTATTACTGATAGTCTGCGCCTAGACTATATATGCCTTTAAACATAAAGGTTAAAAAATTAAGTTTATTTTTTATTTTATTTTTTTTAATTCAAGCGCAATATAATAAATTGTCATGGGGCAAAATAGCTTAAAGTAAGGAAAAGTCACTTGCAAATATAGTAGAAGAAAAGGGGAAGGGGGAAGATAAGTTTAAGTAAAAAAAAGAAAAAAAAGGAAAGAAATATAGAAGTTAAAGGAGTTTGTCTATAAAAGGTATGCACTCTTTCACGGATTAAAATAATATCTGTATATAAGGTTGAATATGCACATATTTACTGATGCACTTAGTAATAGATTAAAATAATTTGAGAAATATTTCTAATACCCAAAATGATTATTATTATTATCATTTATATAGCGCCAACAGATTCCATAGCGCTCTACAATATTATGAGAGGAGGATCTAACTATAAATAGGACAATTACAAAAAACTTAAGGGAACAATAGGTTGAAGAGGACCCTGCTCAATCGAGCGTAGGAGGTGGGGTGTAAAACACATTAGGACAGGAATTTGCAATCAAATAAGGTGGGCTGCCCTTTAGGAGAGAGCAAGAGACAGGTATGTGAGGTAGAGGTTAGTCTTGGAGGCCATAAGCTTTCTTAAGAGATGGGTTTTAAGGCACTTCTTAAAAGATGCAAGATTAGGGGAGAGTCTGATGGCGGTAGGCAGGCTATTCCATAGGAAGGGAGCCTCCAGCGAGAAGTCCAGCAAGCATGAGTTGGCCGTACAGGTGCGGACAACGGACAGGAGGTGGTCACGGGCAGAGAGGAGAGACCGAGAAGTGACATACCTATGGATCTGTGAGGAGATATAAGAGGGGCTAGAGTTGTTCAGTGCTTTATAGATGTGAATTAGTACCTTGAATTGACTCCTATAGCATACAGGAAGCCAATGTAAGTACTGGCAGAGGGGTGAAGTGTGAGAGAACTGACTAGAGAGGAAAATCAGTCTGGCAGCAGCGTTCATTATGGACTGTAGCGGTGCAGTACGGCTTTTGGGAAGACCAATCAGGAGAGGGCTACAATAATCCATGCAGGAAATTACTAGAGCATGGACAAGCTCCTTTATAGCATCTTGTGTAAGAAAGGGACAGATGCGGGCTATGTTTTTAAGATGGAATCTACAGGATTTGGCAACAAACTGGATGTGAGGCTCAAAGGTGAGGCCAGAATCAAGCATGACGCCAAGACAGTGCGCTTGCAAGGATGGACTGATGTGGGTACCACAAACTTGAAGGGAGAGCGAAAGAGGAGGATCAGTATTAGGAGGAGGAAAGATGAGGAGCTCAGTTTTAGAGAGATTGAGTTAAAAGGGGCTCTTCTTTAAAGGGGTACACAATTTAAGTAATAAAAGGCAAGTTCACATGGAGTTATTATAAGAGTTTTATTGATAGTTTTTGCCTAGAACAACAGGTTATCTATGCCTATAAATATAAAGGTTGGAAAATAATAATTCTGTGCTTTTTTTTCTCTTTTCTCACTGTTCTTAAGGTTCATCAATATGAAATAACAGATGCATATTTGTATAAATGATTTTGAAATTCCTATACCAAAACCGTTTAGGACGGTTTACTTTTGCATATTAGCTAACCTGATATAGGGTTAAGCAATATTAGCAAGAAAGATTGGTCTTTATTCTTCTTTTTTGAAGAGAAAAAGAGTGGGGTACTCAAATGTTAAGTGTTGACATGCATTGTAATGTCTTATATGTTATAAGGTTGTTTTTGTTTGGTAAAATTCCTGCGAGAGGGAGACTAGACATGGATAGAGAAAGGTTATGCTTAAAATAGCATCTTTGAACGTAAGTGGGCTAAATTCACCACAAAAGAAAGATTTATTTTTGCAGACTTCTTAACAAGAGAAACAATACACATATGTGGAATCCAAGAGACTCATTGGTTGGCAAATGATAAGGACAGATTTAGTCCTAAATATTTCCCTTATAAATATATAAATCTTCCATGCCAAACAGGAAAAAAAGAGGGTTTGCAACTATAGCATCATCAAAAGTAGCCTTTAAATTAATACATCAAGAAGCTGATACTGAAGAAAGATTTTGTATTTTAATATATGAAATCAACAATCAAAAATACACTATAGTAAATATATATGCCCCAAATAGAGCACCGACAAAATGTATAAATAAAACGGTTTTCAAATTAGATAAGATTAAACATGGCAAAACTATATATCTCGGAGATTTCAACTGTATAGTGGATCCTAGTATGGATAGAACAGTTTAGGTAAAAGAGAGAATAAAAGATATCTAAAACAGTCCTCCTTAAGGTTCAGTGAGATATTGCAAAAATCAGGTTTAATAGATCTTTGGCGGATATGGCATCCTAGAGAAAAAGATTTTAAGTTTTTTTCTCATCCACATCAGGTTTATTCCAGGATAGATTATATATTGACAGAGATAGATACAGCAAGATTGGTTAAAAAAATAATAATTACTAACATTCCATGGTCGGACCATAACGCAATAAATTTTGGTCATTTAGGATGACTTTATTAAAACAAGATCTAACTGGAGATTAAACGAACAATTGCTAAAAAACCCCCACAAAATCTGGAAACTATTGAGAAGGCTTTAGAGAAAATAGTAATATAAAGATATCACCATCAATGTTATGGTGTGCATTTAAATGCACAATTAGGAGTCATCTAATAAAACTGGGAACTGAGGGAAAAAAAGAAACACACAGAACATAGCAGAACTTTATGTTAAATATGATGTCTTGGAAAAAAGAATAAAACTATTCCCACAAAATAAGTAAACAAAGAATTTAAAATAAGAAAAAATGAACACTCTTTTGATTTAAAAATCGAATGTTGCCCTAGAACGGTTAAGAAGAACCTGGTATTACAAAGGTAATACAGCTGATAAACTACTCACAAACAGGTTAAAAAAAGAGAAGATTAAAAAAAAAAATCTAAAATTGTTAAGGGAGAGGAAACGATTATTTTACTGGATAAAATTGGCAAAGCATTTCAAGAGTTTTATTTAGAACGTTATAAATTGCCAGAAAGGGATAAAGTGGTTAAGATGTATTTTTTCCCCCACAACTTAAGCTTCCTAGGATATCAGAGGGTCAATTCATACAATTAAATAAACCAATTTCTCAAACAGAAGTGTAGCCCTTAAAAAGTTAAGAGCAAAAAAGGCACCTGGGCCGGGTGGCTTTAGTAATTGCTTCGTTCGAATATTTGAAAAAAATATAATAGAACCTCTTACAGACTTATTTAATTATTTTATGAACTCTGGATATATTCCAAAAGAGATGTTAAAAGCCAATATTGTGCCAATACCAAAGCCAAAAAAAAATATTGAAATGATAGCAAATTATAGACCTACTTCGCTGTTAAATAGTGATCTAAAAATGTAATCATTGGTTATGGCATCAAGGATAGTCAATATTATACCCACAATTATTCATCATGATAAAGTTGGGTTTGTAGCAAGTAGGTCACCAACATCTAATATAAAGAGACTTATAGATGTGGCAGATATGGCATCAAAGGAAAGTCATTCCCTCCTTGCTCTGTCATTAGACGCTGAGAAGGCTTTTGACAGTCAGGTGAGACTATCTAGAGAGTGTTTTACATAGCTTTGGATTACAAGGTAATATTGATAGATCTATATTGGCCCTTTATACCTATCCAACTGCTAGAGTGGTAGTGAGTGGCTTTTCTTCAGATTGGTTTCAGCTGAAGAATGGCACAAGGCAGGGGTGTCCATTCTCCCCCTTACTTTATTTAATGACAATAGAACCACTGGCGAGTATAATACAAGATAAAGATTCCATTAAAGGAGTAGCGGTTTCAGGAAAGTCAATAAAACTTACAATGTATGAAGATGACGTGATACTCACGTTGAGTGACCCTCTGATATCCTTGGAAGAGTTGATGGATATCATAAGTGAGTTTTTATTATACTCAGGATATAAACTGAATTTAAATAAATTTGTAGCACTCCCACTTAACCTATCACAAACAGTAAAAGGGAATTATCTGAAAAATTTGGTTTTGACTGTAATAGAAATTCTCTTGAGTGCTTGGGTAAAGAAATTATAAGCAAGAAAAAAAATGGAGTAATGCGCAACTGGTATTTAAAGTGCACAACCGGGTGCTCCATATTTATTGGAAGGACAAAATATAAGTTGCAAATGTTTCGGGCGATTGCCTTTTATCAATGCTAATGTCCTTCCTTTGATAAAGGGCAATCGCCCGAAACGTTTGCAACTTATATTTTGGAGGTAAAAATAAATATAGGTATAGTCTTAACTCTAATAGTCAAATTTTAAATAATATATTAACTATATGGAACAAGCTTAGAAAGGATCTAGATGTGCAAGATAATTCCTTGTCTTCCTATATGTCAATTAAATAGTAACATGATGGACTTAAATATACAGAAATAGACTAATCTTGGTATTAAGGAAATTGACAATATAGTAGAAAATGGCAAAATTAAAGACTTTAATTCTTTAAATATGGAATATAATATTCATAGTAAAGAGATTTTTTTTGCAAATCTGATTTTATTGAGTGAAAATAATTAGGCTCGCAGGCCTCAAAGAAAAGCAGTATTACGTGTTACAACATATGTTATTCTTCAGAACATTACATTGGAAATTTCCCATAACTTCAAGGCTATTACACCACGATATCAGTTTAAGGCATAGTTAGCGTACATGTTATTTGCACAAATACAGCACAAAAGAGCATTCTCAGTAATTGTTTGCAAGACATTATCTAGTGTGTTTGCGTGGTGCATGTTCCACGTTTGGTGTTCGACCCCCTAGATATAGTCAGGCAGGTGTTGCTTTCAGTCGTCAGGTTAGTGACTTATATCCCTGAGAGACATATGAGAGTAACAAGGAATATAATGTGTTGTAGGGTGAGAAGAGGAAAGTGAAGGAATGACGTGTAAGTATGAGGGGAGCCTTCCCTGGTGTCCGCACTCTCCTACCCTACCGAAACGGGCAGTGAGCGTGCGTGTGATGGTCGAGGTTTCGTCAGGTCCTGTCATAGCGGCTTACGGTAGCACGTTGGTCATGCAGTGTGAACCTAGGCTGAGTTATTGTCTCAGTGGGATCATCTGGAGTCCGGCCCTATATTGTGTGTTGGGTCCTTCCCTTCGGGCTCCATCTTCCAGTTTGCACATCCGTATGATGTGTCCTGTAGACTGTAGTTTAGTCTATCATGTGCATTGATTGGGCATAGTAAAGAGATTTCCACATATATAATGGTAAAGGGTTATCTTAATGATTATTTACTTAAAGATAAATCAAATAAACAAGTAAAACTTAAAAAAATTATACAAAAATAGAAACACTATTTAAAAAATGGTGTCAAGATGTCTTGATTTATATGACAGGGATCCTGAAAATCTTATTAGTTTTATAATAAATAAATGGGAAAAAGATATACATACAAATATACCGTAAGTTCCGATGATTGGAAAAGATCGATAGCTTTTTTTTCAAAGAATATACATTGTCTCAGTTTGTCCTAGGTACAGTACAAGATCATGATTACATGAAACCTAACTCCAAGTAGACAAGCAAAAATGCATTTAAATATTTCCGACAAATGTTGGAGATGTCATTCTCATAATGGAGGGATGATGCATATGTGGTGGGAGTGTGGGTCAATATTTCTTTTATTGAGTATGATTGCCATTAAAATAAAGAAGCTGACTAATATCAAGACAGATTTATTCCCGAGTATTCTTCTGCGGCATCTAAATATGTATCAAATCTTTGGGCAATTCTCTGTACTAGTTATCCATATTTTGATGGCAAGAAACTGGAGATCTACTAAGGTTTCATGCTGGGACTTAGTTAAAGAACAACTGGTATATCAGTTAAAGATGGAAATCGGAATAATTTCAACAGATAGGAAAATTATGAAGGAATCGCTGTATAAGATACAACAGACGTAATTTCTTTATTTATTTTTTCTCTTTTTTTTTTTAATTTAGCCCATTGAACACAATATAAGGTATAATATAGCCTAACAAGAGCAGACTGACTGATATATTGAAGTCCTAGCTATACTGGTCCCTCTCGCAGGAATAATTAAGCAGAGTTTTATAACATTAAATGATGTTTGTGTTGATGTGTTGGTTACGTGATGTAATATTTAAATTTAGAATATGAGCAATGTGTTAAAATAATGGATATAGAAGAAGATATAATACTATGCTATATATATAAACACATAACTGTGTGTATGTTGTATTGCATGGTCTTGTGATTGTATATTTGTATAAAATATTTTTCTGAAATAAAGATTAGATATGGAAAAAATATATATATTACATTATTTTAAAACATTATTTAAACATATATGACGAAAATATTGCTGCTACAGAGAACACTATGCACCTTTTTTGTATCTTTCTAGGTATCTGACATACAGACAAATATATTTAAGATCCACTACCTATTACATGGTTTAAAGTGGATTTCTCAATTTTCTGGAGAAAATGTACTATAGTGATACACTTTGTATAGAAAGTACTACACTAATCAGTAAATTGTGCTTTTATTATTGCTACAGTCAGGGTCGTCTTTAACACGGGGTAAAAAGGGCAGCTGCCCCGGGCCCAGTCAGAAATAGGGGGCCCAAAGCAGCTGCCCCTTTAGCCCTCCGGCCGCCGTGGTGCGTGCAGCCCGCATGGAACTATCACCCCGGGCCGCGCAATGTGGAGGCTCATCGGGTGGTCAATGCTCTAAGGGCCACCCGATAGCGATGGATTTCAAGGGGCCCGGCTGCTTTGAGAGCGCGACCAGGCCCCCTGTGACAGCCAGTCACTTCCTCCCAGCATTCACCGAGCGCCGTGCGGGAGGAGGAGAAGAAAAGGAGGGAGTCAGAGTGGGAGTTTTGACTCCCATCAGCCTGAGCCAGCCTCCTGCACTCCAAAGGTCGGAAACACATAAAAAATGTGCATGTATGTATGTGTCTGTATGTATCTGTATGTATGTATATCTGTTTGTATGTGTGTATCTGTATGTATGTGTCTGTCTGTATGTATGTGTCTGTTTGAATGTAACTATGTCTGTTTGTATGTGTGTATCTGTATGTATGTATCTGTTTGTAAGTGTCTGTTTGTATGTATGTGTCTGTATGTGTCTTTGTATCTGCACGTGTGTCTGTGTTTGTATCTGTGTGAGTGTCATTCTGTGTATTTGAATGTGTATCATTCTGTGTGTATGTGTAGCTGCATGTGTGTCTGTGTATCTATATATGTGTCAGTGTCTGTATCTGTGTGTATCTGCATGTGGGTCCGTGTATGTATCTGTATATTATTGTGTGTATCTGCATGTATGTCAGTGTGTTAGCGTTTCTGTTTATCTGCATGTTTGTCAGTAAGTGTATCTGTGCATCAGTGTATGTAGGTGTGTCAGTGTGTATCTGCATGTGTGTCTGTGTGTATCTGCATGTGTGTCTGTGTATGCACTTGTGTGTCTGTGTATCTCTCTATGTATGTCTGTACCTGTGTATGTGTGCATCTCTATGTATGTCAGTGTTTGCATCTGTATGTGTGTTAGTGTGTGTATTTTGTCTCAGTAAGAAATGAGAGGGCTTAGTGTGTGTTTTTTTTTTGTGTGTCTGATTGCATGCTAGGAAGGGAAATGGCTAGCTCAAGGGGCCCAAATCAAATAGCTGCCCAGGGTCCAATCAGTATTAAAGACGGCCCTGGCTACAGTATATATGTATTATGTAGCATTTAGGTACATTTTGCTACAGTGTCCTTAAATTGCCTACCTCTATTATTAAGTTTGGTACTTTTCTAACCAACTTGGAAGGACTGAATTAGACATATTTTTTATTTATTTTACTTTGGATTTTTAATGTATTTTATTTTATTCTTATTTATTGTTCTGCTTTTATGGTTTTATTTATTTACTAATTGTATGCTGATATCTGTTATCAGCTCCTAGCCTTTTTTTTTTTATCAGTTTCACTGCTTATTGCATTTTTTATTTGCCCATTTAATAGCTTCCCATAACACAATAGATTACAAAGTCAGAAATATTATGCATTTCCTTTGATGCACATCCATTTTCTTACCACTAGATGACAGTAGAACACAGCTATATTTTAGTGCTTTGGGATAAAATATTAAGTATATTCACAACGTGGCAAGTGAAACTCTGTGAATATTTGCTTTAGCTTCTTTTTATGAAAAACATATGTAAATGCTGCTTAAATTGGTATATCTATTCAGAATAAACGTAATACTCTGAGCACCAAAACAACTTTAGCTTGATGACGCAGTTTTGATGAATTCATGCCCCTGTATTCTCACTGCTTCGTTCTCTGTCATTAAGGAGTGAAATCATTCTTGTTTCTGTTTATGTAGCACTAGCCACACTTTCACTAACTGTGTCTCACTCAGACTCTATGAAAAAAATAAGATAAGCTCAGAGCTTTTTATGAACACACTGTGCAAAAAAGGAAGTTTAAAAATGTGATTTTTACAGGAAGTGTGAAGGGAGACTGTGTAGTTCACAAGCAGGAAAGGAGTGAGTAGGGCTGCATAACGAAAGTTATTTAACTTCTAAATGACAGAGAATTGAGCAGTTATAACACATAGGCATTGTCTATACACCAAAACCATTCCATGGAGCTAGTGTTATTTCGGTGCTTTGTCTGTCCCTTTAACCTAAACATCTAGAGTCAATAGGAGAAAGGAAGACATTTTCTATAAAGGGTATAAAAGATCTTATCTCCAGGTTCATATTTTTACCCCACCCCATGAATATGTGCACTGGAGCGCAAATATAAACAGTGTCCTTCAATAAGCAGTGAAGCCTGTCCATTTACATTAGAGGAACCTGGTCCATCACAACTACCCAGAAGTCCTATTTCTTTGGTAAGTGGAATGTTAGATCTTAATATGGATGCCTATTGTATATCTACTACAGCCGTGGTTCCAAACCTTTTTTTATTTGTGTACCCCTGAGCAGCATGATTTCATAAACTATACTCCTCATATTAGCAAAATGTTTGTAATTATTATAGCTGCCATTATTTCAAATTATACACACATACACACACACACACACACACATACAAATATACACTGACAATCATGCAGATACACAGATACAAACACTGACACACATGCGGATGCACAGATATACAAACACACAGATACACACACTGACACATATGCAGATACACAGATACAAAAACTGATATACATACAGATATAGACCCACAGATGCACAGATGCAAACACAGACACACATATGGATGCACAGACACACAGGTTCACTGACATACATACAGATACAAACACACATAAAATCACAAAGACACAGATACAAACACTGACACAGAAACAAATACTCACACATATGCAGATGCAAAGACACATAGGTACAAACACTGACACACATACAGATACACACACTGACACATAAAGATATACAGACACACAAATACAAACACTGACAAATGCAAATGCACAGACACATAGATACAAACACTGACACACATACAGATTAACAGACACACAGATACATGGTGAAGGCAAAAGGAATAGGGGGCATTCCAGAAACATGCATTTTGCAGGAATGGTGCTGCTGTAGTGACCAAAAGTCATACATAATACAGATTAAGGCGCAGCGCACACATAAAAATATATTTTTTGGGGCGGGGCCTGACTGCAGACCGAGTCAGTCGCATGGTGCTACAGCTCCTCCGGGAAACCCACTTAAAGTGCCATTGAATTGGGCTAATTTGCTCTTTTGCTGGCTAAAAGCCTGTCCCTACTCCAGGGGAGCACATCTGGGTCTCTGACTGAATCCTGCGGACACAGCCCAAGTAAAGCTCCTGTGAGGCCTGTGGCTACAGTCGAGGGTGGGGAGGCAGCCGATCCTCTGCCTTGATCTGGAGCCTACTAATCACAAGCCCTGTTCCCCTCTCCTTTGGACCAGTGGGGGAAATCCCGGTCCGCACTGGGGTATTGAAGTGGCCAGCCCACCACAACCTCAAACTACCTGGTGTGGCAAAAAAACCATGGACAACATACCATGATCGCTTCCACCTGTAAATCAGTTCCTCCTGGCACTTGCCTGCACTTGCGAGCTGTTTAGGGCAAACCTCTATGACAGGAGACCTACCTACACTTCTTGTGGCTGAGCTGCAGCACTCGACCTGCCTCAACACTTTTGGAATCTCCCCAGAGGGACACAGCAAAAGAGACAGCGCAAACATCTAACACGGCAGTTACTGAACTCCCACGGCTGTATCCAGCAGGTTCATTGCAGCCCATTCCAGCTGTGGAGAAACAAATCTCTCCGCTCCCGGCAAAGCCTGCCTGAATCAAGCATCTGCACATCGGACCACAGGAGGTGCAGGGCTGAGGTGCTGCGACATCGAGCCTCGCTTACTGCCGTAATTAAAACCACACTGGACTGTCTGGCACCCATGCTCGGTCAGAGAAGCCTCTTTGATGCTGCTGAAAATAGCATAATCTGGGCCTTACCATCTCTCAGAATTGGCTGAGGGGCTGGCACACCCTACATAGAGCCCTGGAGTTTTATTATAGGTTTCCCTTTGCTTACTGTGCATTATCTATAGAGCTACACAGGGCTACCCTACCTTCCCAGTGGTAACTGTTATTATTTCTCACAGCTCTATTCATGTTCTTTTCTTGTTTTTTTCTTCTCATAGAATGGTGCTATTGCTGTCTTTTCAACTAACTTAAAATAAAAAAAAAAAGTGCAGTCTGTCCTTGACATTCCATGTGACTCTTATCTTACTATGTCTTGTTATTTTGAACATTTCAATGCAATGTCTATAAGAGCTGGTTTGTTACCTTATGCACTGAAAAAATAATGAATACAAAATAAAAAATAAATACATTTTTAAATGTTATGAGGCTAGTTAAAATTCCCACTGGGGATTCAGTTCCACCATATGGCTATATTGTGTTAAGCCTACCCCTACTTCACAGTACCCCAATATCGGTGGGTCCTACACTAATTCAGACATAGGAGACAAATAATATAGTGCTAATTCTAAATAATATGCTGTATGAAATTAAATTAATTTAAATGTGGTCACCTCCAAAGGGTCCTCTGAAGCCGGTGGGGGCTCGGCGGGGTGCTTGACCCCAAAGGAAATCTCATGTGGATGCATTGACATACATAGAGCTACAGACACACATAAAATCACAAAAATACACAGATATAAACACTGACAGACACCCACAGATAGAGACATACAGATGACAAACCACATACACACATTTGGATACAAGCACTAACACACATACAAATACACATACACATACACATACACTGACACACACTTATTGCAAAGGTAGAGAGGATATACACACACGATCCAGGGAGTACTTCCATCAGGGTGATCCAGACAGGCAGGGTCATAAATCCAGGAAAGATTCAATAGAACAATGTAGATCGTTAGACTTGACAAAGCCTCAAGGAACGAAATGTTGTTTTTGTTCTGCCTACTGAGGAAACCACCAATTGTGCCCTGATCTACCTTGTTCTATTGACAGACACACATGCAGATATATAGACACATAGATACATAGACATACATACATATACAGACACACCAATACAAACACTAACACACATGCAGATACACAGACACACACACTGACACACATGCAGATACACAGACACACTGTAGCTGTATATATATATATGTGTGTCAGTATGTGCATCAGTGTGACTGTATCTGCAGGTATCAATGCATGTATCTGTGTATCGCCACGTGTGTCAGTGTTTGTATCTGGGTGTCTGTATCTGTCTGCAAACACTGACATACATACAGTTGCACAGACACACTAATACACACACTGATATGCATGCAGAAATACAAATAAAAACACTGACACACATACAGATACTGACACATACAGATACACACACTGACACACATACAGATGTACAGACACACATATACAAACATTGGCTCACATGCAGATACACACACACTGGTAAAAACACTGACACACATACAGATGTAAAGATAACAGATACAAACACTGCCACACATACAGATACACAGACACACAGACATACAGATACACACTGATACACATACAGATGCAAAGACACAAACACATACATACACACTGACACACATACAGATACAAACACTAAATACATCCAGATACACACTGACATACATCCGGATACAAATACTTCATACATACAAATACAGACACCCAAAACACACTGATACAGGTCACAATTTTAGCCACCCTCCGGTTTCTTACCTTTTAAATGCAGGAGGGTGACTTTTGCTGGCTGTGGCTGGCGGGAATTGGGGGCTTGCTCTTCCAGTCCAACCCCCATGATGGCTCCCTGTCCTCCCCACCCACGTAGCTGTATTACTTCCATCCGGTTCTCCCTGCAGTCTAGAAGGTCGCGCTATTAAAAATGGTTAAATGTATTCACTCTGTCAAAGATAACAGACAGGCCTTTTGTCACTTTTAGAGGAGCACCTATTTTAAAACAATTTTAACTCAAAATCATCCTAAAAAGAGTTATCAATTAATTTTTTTAAATGATAGAAAAGGTTTTTAGTCATGCAATAAATGTTTAGTGTGTAAATATAAAATAGAGCTATAAAAGCACTGCGCTGCATGCTACACTATGAAGTCTTACTCTTGACTTCTTCATTTCCTAGAGAACTCACTGAGCCCATCAACTATGCCATTAGCATAGTATGCCAAGCAACTGTGCCCTAGCAGCCATGTTTCACAATGTAGTATCACCATTCATCCTTCAATTACTTTGTTATTCGTTTAAAGGTACAAACATGTATCATCTTCAGAAAAAGTACAGAAATGAATCAAACATTACACTTTTCTGCCAGGACAAATGGATATATTCTCTTGATTTAAGTAAAAAAGTGATAATGATGTCTATTTTTTATTTAATTCAGAAAGAAATAGGAGATGTGCATATGTTCGTGTCAGGGTATAGTATGTAAACATTGAAACTGTGTGTGCAATCTCAATGTTAAACTGAAAAAACAAATACAGGGAATGAAGTTAAGGAAGTGACTTGACTAATACTGTATGTTTTACAGAACTAGAATGGAAAGTAGGGACCAGAGAGTTCCCAAAACATTTAAGACGTGTATAATGATAAGTAAAATCAAAATTCAGTGCAATCAACCCAACGGTGGAGGCCTACAATTTGTGCAGCCATGCATTGATGCTGATTAAGAGTGAGACACATTTCTGGAAACAAGTGAAATGATTGGGGACTGAGGTTTTAGAAGATGTATAAAGTATGCATATAAGGTGCATAAAATGTTATCAGTGGAGACACTTACTGGGTAATTCACTCAAAATCTGATCAATCAGTATTGTAACTTGGTCTCTGTTGTGCTGTCATCAATCCGATTCTATACAACATTTTGTCAAAAAAAATATTGCGTAGCTGCTTGTAGGCTTTTCAGACTTAGGAATCTTTCAGAGTTCAATATTTCATATAAGCATGTGACAAGAACTCCATACGGAAAATGTGGGCAAATAGTCACCCGTTGACATAGATCCATACCGCACCGGAAATCAATTCAGAAACCAATGAGACTTAAGTTTTAGTACAAAGTAGCCAAACTATAGGCATAGCTGACTTAGATAGTTCTCAAATTTGGATATTTTGCCCTTAAATGTAAAATTCACTTCACTAAATTTGCACTGAATTCTCACTTTAGTGAATAACATTGCCAATTATTAAAACTATCCATAATAATGAGTACCCATAAATGCAGAACCCCTTATAAGAACGTGAGTTTAATTAAATTGTTATGGAGGCAGGGTTGTCCAGGAGCCTTCTTACCTTCAAGGATTACATTTGCTCTCTGCAGTCCAGTATGAGGAAAGCCGCTGAAAGCGTCAGCTGACATATTGGTAGATACCCCTTAATATTTTAGGGAAATATTTATTGTTTCAGCAAAAGGTGATAACATAGAAGTTTGTGTATAATTAAACCCAGACCTGCACTAGAGATGGGCCTACAGATATAGTAGAACTCTACAATCAAGCTCTGCTTGAAGCCAGTGAGTATATTGAAGAAACCCAAAAATATGAATGTCCTTGTTTTACATAACAGGTAAGTGATTGGTTTATATGCCTGGTGGTTCTATGGAACTGTAAGTGCAGTTTGCTACTAATGGCTACTCATGCTTGAATTGAATGTTTTCTGTGATTTTGTTATGTTATATATTATTACATATATATATATATATATATATTGCCTAGCTGCTTGCAGGCTTGAGATATATATATATTAAGACGTGGTTAAACGTAATACTGTATTGCTAAGCTGTCTTGATGACATACTGAACAGGAATTTACTGACGGGTATAGTCTATAAATAACCAAAAGAAATCAGACATCAGTAATACATTATTTTTTATTATTAATGTAATCACAAAGGCCACACTCTAGGAGAGTTTCTGAACACACAACAGCACATATAGTCTAAGAAAGAGCTTATATGTTCTGAAAAGTCTAGACTAGGGAAAGTCAACCTTCATCACTCCAGATGGTGTGAAATACATCTCCCATGATTCCTTGCCAGCATTATGGTCTTAAGATGTAGTCCACAACATTTGGAACATTGCAGGTTGACTACCCAATCTCTAGAGCAACCCTGTGCTGCTAATATGTCCAGACTCTCCATGGGGAGAATGGTTGGCTATAGGTAGTCCGCTCTATTTTGTGAGTGAAGTAGTCTGTGTTTTGACTCCAAATTCAGTAGCTCCAAGTCCAAGGAATTTTGTTCTGTCTTTTAGGTTATGCTGAAGCAGGACATTTCCATACCTGGATTTACTCTAGTAGCCTTTTCAATGCAGCAGCTCTGGACATTGAATATCAAGATTATTTTAATATCCAGAGTTGTTGCAACTCTCACCAACCACTTTGGAGTGGGCACCTCAATGCTCCTCTTTCATGTGTCCTCCAAGAGTTACTCAAAGAATCCTGGTCTAAAATTTCAGGAACCTGACTGTCAGGGCAAAACATAAAACATTGTGTGGCATCATCAATCACCTTGATATATTGGTAACAATGGCAGCTTCAGTCTCATTCATAGTATGCCTTGACCATGGTGTCTTAGAAACATCAATCAAAGAATAATATGTGGATCAACCAAATAAAACGCATTAGGCATAAGCATTCAGATAAGATAATCAATGTATACTTTGCCCGGCAATATATTTTACAAAGTATATAGTTACCTTACTTGTTGGTACAAGTCATGCGTCTGTTGACATTTTTGTTATGCAATTTGATTTCTCTACATTGTTTCTTGGTTTTTATCATGAATATTGCATGCAGCAGCTGGCCCCGTATTCAGAAAGTTGCACTTGCTTGTCAGGCTGAATATTGTAAGCAAACATTTGCATGTCATTTTGTGACACCAACTGAATTGTACAGCTGCTGCCTTACTTATGGTAAATGATAGACAAATTGTTTCATTAGTTGTGCTGTGCGATAACATGCAGTGCCATCCATGTAATCTATTTTATTTTAACCCCTGGCTGCCAAAGAATGTGCTTTTATTAGCTCTCCCATGATGCTTTGTCAACTTTAAAACTGCTAATCTATATTTTTTGCCAGCCATGCATATCATTCAGGCACTATGGAATAAAGACTTAAATACCAAAACAAAAACAAAACATAATTTAACACAATTTATTTTACACAAATAATCCTCAAGATTTGTTCCAATTGGAATGGTTTGGAAAAAAGAGAATACATCTGTCACTGGTTCCTATTGGATACAGCATAGGTTTATAAGTGAGTTGTGTGTTTTAAGATTTTACCAGGACCAGAGTGTGTAGTTAGTTGTGAATCTGTTTTAATGGCTTTATTTTGAATCATGTTTAGCATTCAGCAGTGTTTGTGTGTTTGAATGTTAGCATGTTTTTGTATCGAGGATGTTTGAGTGAATATAGGGGTGTGTTAGTATGTAGTGTTGGCGTTTAAATGCAAGCATGCATTTGTGTGTAGTGTGGTTTTGAATGCAGTGGTGTGGTTATACATAATGGTGGGATTTGTATGTAGTGTTGACGTTGAAATGCAGGGGTGTATTTGTGTGTAGTGTTGGTGAGATTCTGAGATGTATGCACATATACACACTAACACACATGCAGATACATAGATACACAGACACACACAGACACACATGCAGACACAGAGGCGACTCTAGGAATAATATATGGGGAGCACATAAGATACCACAGTCAAAACTGGGGGGAGGGCACTAAAACCTTTCCCTAGGGGATGGGGTAATATGCTGCCATTGGCTGTCTGATGCCAGCATGCTGTGTTTTAATAGAATTCACATTAGCCACCCAGATTTCCTGTTGTGGGCTGGCTGACACATCTTACCTTCAATCTTTGTTTGTCAGATAACTCCAAATAACACACCAAATAAGTGAGCTGTGTGCTAAACATCACCCTAATTTAGTATATTTAAATGTGGAAATCTCACATAAGGGTACCAATTTAGGGAATTATCTACTAAACAGCTAAAAGATCAACATTTTAAAAACCATTTTCTTAATTTTAATCTTTAATTTTTTTAGTAGACAACTCACTTATTTGTTATCCTTATGTGAGATTGCAACAATTAAGGACACCAAATAAGAGAGCTATCTACTAAACACATACATATTTATATACACATACAATAACACAAAATATGTATATCTATGTGTGTGTACATCTGTGGTTGTATGTGTGTGTATATACACATACACAATCGGAGACATGCACCCACATAACCATAGACACACACACAAACATAATCACAGACCCACACATACAATCCCAGACCTACACACACAATCACATACATAAACACACATATTCACAACACACCCACTTAACCACAGAGATGCACACACAATCACACACATAATCACAGACATACACGAACACAATCACAGACCCTAACACATAAAATCACAGACACACAATCACATACACATATAATTAGATGTACACACACAATCATCACAAACATACACACATTTAATAAGAGGTCCACCCAACCTTCCTACCTTGCTCTGGGAGGGTTGGAGTGGAGGGCTGGTGGTCAGTGGTTGCTGCTGGTATCTCTGTGCTCTTCCTGCACAGGACGCCGATGCCGGGATGACATCATGTCCCAGCTGCCGCCTCACTGCAGGGGGAAGACAGTAAGACACAGTCAGATGCACACAGTTATACACATATACGGTCAAATACAGCCACATGCACACAGTCCGAGGCACATAGTCACACGCACACAGTCAAACCCACAGTTACAGGCAGACAGTCCACACAGTTACACACACACAGCTACAGGCAGACAGTCACACACACACACACAGTTAAGGGCTGTATCACGCACAGTTTCAGGCAGACTGTAATACTGTTACAGGCAGACTGTAATACAGTTACAGGCAGCATCACACAGTCACAGGCAGACAGTCCCACACACACTCAGTGACATGCAGACAGTCACACACAGTCACACACAGAGTTACAGGTAGAAAGTCACATACAGATGCAGGTAGACAGTCACACACACAGTCATAGACAGTCACACACAATAGCAGGCAGACAGTCACACATACAGTCACAGGCAGATAGTCACAAACTGGCACAGGCAGACAGTCACACACAGTCACAGACAGTCACACACACAGTCACAACCAGACATTCACACACACAGTTACAGGTAGACAGTTACACACACAGTCAAAGGCAGTTATGCACAGTCACAGGCAGACAGTCATACACGCAGTCATCGGCAGACAGTCACACACACAGTCACAGACAGTCACACACACAGTCACAACCAGACATTCACACACACAGTTACAGGCAGACAGTCACACACACAGTCACAGGTAGACAGTTGCACACACAGTCAAAGGCAGTCACAGGCAGACAATCAAACACACTGTCACAGTCACAGGCAGACAGTCACACACACAGTCACAGGAAGAAAATCACACACACAGTCACAGGCAGAAAGTCACACACAAAGTCACAGACAGTAACAGGCAGACACTCACACACACAATTAAACATACAGTTACAGGCAGACGTTTACACATATAGTCACAGACAGTCACAGGAAGACATTCACACACACAGTCACTGGCAGACAGTCAGACATACAGTCACACACACATACACACACACACACACACACACACAGTCACAGACAGACCCAATCACAGTTACATACACACACAGTATAGACTCTCTCTCACTTACTGGTGGAGGAGTGGAGTCAGTGAAGTTCCTGGTATGTAGGTGTTGGGGAAGCATTGACTCCTTCCTGCTTCCCCTCTGTGTGTAGCAGTAGCAGCAGGTGGAGGCCGCCTTTAGCTGTGCCCCCGCTGCCAATTTGGCTTTGCCCCCATGGGTAATTTAGCATCACCCCAACTCTCCGTGCAGTTCTCCTGCTCCCGGACCCTGCGTATGTGAGCTGTGCCAGCTGCCCGGAGCTCCTACTGCCACGGCGCCCTCACACCTCCCCAAGATTGGCCAGCCCTGGTGGCACCCCCTACCTTGTGGCAACCGGGGTAGACCGTCCCCCCCCCTCGCCTACCCATTAGTATGCCACTAGGTATAGTGTTCCTTTAAATCTCTTTTGTTTCTGTCCATGCAGCCATAGTCACACCTTCCCTGGCTGTGATTGACACAGTCTGCATGAAAAAACATTGGTTACATATCCAATGGCAATCCCCCAAAAACAGAAATACTGAAATAGTAAACAAAGTTATCCACGGATACTGCTACTCTACACAATAAAACATTCATATTACGGTATGTTATTGTAAAGAGCAATTCTGAGGAAAAGATATAAAGTAATGCAGTATCCATAGAAACCACTGACATGCTCCTACTAGTTGCTCTACTTTTAGAATATTGCTCCACAATTGCTCTTTATAAATAACCTATCATTTTTCCACTCCACATTATGTTGCGCCAAATTGATACTACATTGACTTGCCTGCTCTAACATATTTTTTTTCCACGTCAATCATAGTAAAATCTATTCCTCAAAATTGCTGGTTAAAGTAAATTTTTCAGAAAATAGGAAAATAGGATGGAAATAAACTCCTTGGAAATTATAAGCATTATTTACATAATTTTGCTATTTCATGATGAAAAGTCATGATTTTATTAAATATAAGAAAACAGGGGACTACACTCTCCTGAACATGCATACACGGAGTGCTGCTGGGGCTCTAGCAGCACCCTATTTATGCATGTTCAGGTGAGTGCAGCCCCTGGTTTCATATATATATGTTTGGGAGTCTAGTCAACTCCTTGGTTTTGCACCCCTCCCTGTCACAGGTGCCTCATCCCAGGGCCCTATTTAGCCTTGTACTGCAGAGAGCCCCAGATAGAAATTTTTCCCCAAGTAAGTGGGTTAATCTCATAAGAGACATAAGGGGCATTATGTTGTCAGAGTAGGATCTGCCAAAGACGGGGTACATTGACGTTGTGGCAGGCTTATACATTGTATGATCATATACTGTAAACATTATTTTTACCTAGATTATGTGTTTTAAAAAAAACAATAAAACCTGTGATGTTGCTTTTTAGTAGATGAGTGAGAGCACTGGATCTTGTATGATTTTATGAAAGACATGGAGGCGAGTGTTGTGCATTTCTCTTTCTTTTTAAACATAACAGCAAAAAAAAAAAAACAATGAGAAAAAGGATGCTTAACACGTGACCTCCCAAACTCCACCCCTCATATATAGCTATCCCTATATCAATTAGGATCACATCCCCAAGAACCAGAACCAGGGCAACTGACATCTCCAACAGCAGACGAACAATGTCATGGTCTGTAATCAAGAATGAAAAAGGACAATCTGAATCCAACCATAGCTCAGTCAGAATGAGGATATTGTCCAGGTACACTGTCAGTCTGACTCTCCTGACCCCCAAAAATGCCATAAGCGGTCGCAACAGCTCCAACGAGAGGCCTAAGGACAGGCAACTTCCATCTCTCTCCCCTCCAAAGGAATAGTAGGAAGTCCTGGAACTCCATGACAATGGGGACCATGAGATACATGTCCTTGAGGTCCAATTTCACTGTCCAATCCCCGGTGAGGAATGCAACGCGAATAATGAGAATCTCCTCACTCTTGAAGTGCCTGTAGCACACCAAGGCATTCAGAGAAAGGAGGTTTATCACTGGCCACCCTTTTTGAGGATCAAGAGAATGTTGCTCACGTATGGGCGAGGGGTCAGAAGTGCATGCTCAACTGCCCCTTTGAGGCCCCTTTTATTCTCTAATCCTGTATTGACAAGGTGCTTGTCAGACCTGAAGAAAACAAGGGCTTTAGGGTTCTGTCGATGGACATATTTTAAAACAGAAATTCTCCTATTTTAAATATGAGGTGCTGTGTCTGGATAGGATGATTTTTGCTGCAACTATTTTGATTGTATTTATTATTTTTGTAAGCTAATATGTTCAGACTGGGGAAGCATTAGGAATATATTATTAAAATGAATAACATCACTTTGTAGTTTAAAATACATGTAGAAACATAGGGGGTGGGGGCGTTACGCCATGCTGAACGGTCGCATGCGGGAAAGGCTCCTGCAGGGACCGACATCTAATGCTGAATCCAGAAAAATAAAGAATGTAGTAAAGTACATGCAGAAACATCTAGTCTGCCCAATTTTCAATATATTTTAATTTATCCCTGGCATTATCTTAAGTCTAGGATAGCCTTATGCCTATCCCACGCATGCTTAAACTGCTTTACTGTGTTCACCTCTACCACTTCAGCTGGAAGACTATTCCATATGTCCACTACCCTCTGTGTAAAGTAATACTTCCTGAAATTATTTTTAAACCTTTGCCCTTCTTATTTAAGACTTTGTCCTCTTGTTGTGGTAGTTTTTCTTCTTTTAAATATAGTGTCCTCCTTTAGTGTGTTGATTCCCTTTATGTATTTAAATGTTTCTATCATATTCCCCCTGTCTCGTCTTTCCTTCAAGCTATACATGTTAAAATCCTTTAACCTTTCCTTGTAAATTTTATCCTGCAATCCATGAACCAGTTTAGTAGCCCTTCTCTAAACTCTTTACAAAGTATCAATTTCCTTCTGAAGATACGGTCTCCAGTACTGTGTACACTACTCCAAGTGAGGTCTCACCACTGTTCCTTACAATGGCATGAGCACATCTCTCTTTCTACTGCGAATACCTGTCCTAAACAACTAAGCATTCTGCTAGCATTTCCTGTCGCTCTATTACATTGTCTGCCTACCTTTACGTCATCTGAAATAATTACCCCTAAATCCCTTTCCTCAGATGTTGAGGTTAAGACTCTATCAAATATTTTATACTTTGCCCTTGGGTTTTTACGTCCAAGATGCATTATCTTGCACTTATCCACATTAAATGTCAGCTACCACAGCTCTGACCATTTTTCTAGCTTACCTAAATCATTTGTCATTTTGCTTATTCTTCCTGGAACATCAACCCTGTTACAAATCTTAGTATCATCAGCAAAAAGACATACCTTACCATCAAGACCTTCTGCAATATCACTAATAAAAATATTAAAGAGAATGGGTCCAAGTACAGATCCCTGAGGTACCCCACTGGTGACAAGCCCAAGCTTTGAATATACTCCATTGACTACAACCCTCTGTTGCTTGTGACCCAGCTACTGCTTAACCCAATCAACAATATTGGAATCCAAACTTAGAGATTGCAATTTATTGATGAGCCTTCTATGTGGAACAGTGTCAAAAGCCTTACTGAAATCTAGGTAAGCAATGTATACTGCACCACTCTGATCAATTATTTTAGTTACCCAATCAAAAAAATCAATAAGATTAGTTTGGCATAACCCCCCTGAAGTAAACCCATGTTGTCTCTTATCTTGAAATCCATGGGACTTTAGATGTTCAACAATCCTATCCTTTAACGTGGTTTCCATTACTTTCCCCACTACTGAAGTAAGGCTTACTGGCCTATAGTTGCCCGACTCCTCCCTACTACCTTTCTTGTAAATGGGCACAACATTCGCTAACTTCCAATCTTCTGGGACTACTCCTGTAGAATTGGTGTTTAGATATTTTATTTATCTACATTTTCTTCACAAATTGCATGATTGTACAAAGTTAAAAAAAATACATGTTGGGGTAGATTCATCAAAGAAAACATAGCTGCTAATCTTGGGCAAAGTACTAAATAAGGTGCAATCATCATGGAAACCAAGAATGGCAACTGTTTTGTCTTTATGAATCTCCCCTCAATCTTTTAATTTTTAATTACTAATTTGTACTGAGAACATTCGTATAAAATCTTGAATTTTATTTTTTAAGAAGCTGAACTGATGTGCTATGTAAAAGCATAATGAGTATTTTTGAAATATTTATAAAACAATGACTCCCATGCTGTTGTTTAACTCAGCTCTATCTAGACAATAACCCGAGAGTTAATCCTCATCCTACCTCTGTTCATTCTCAAAATTAACACTTTCTATGTAGCCTATTAACGCGTAGACTTCTTACTGTGAAGTCTGATATGTAATCCTCAGTTGATGATTTTATCTGTCATTCTTCCCTATGTTTTCCAAGGTTTGTTCATTTCTTAATAGTTAATAAAAATATACATTATTACAAAGTCTTGTAATCAACAAATTATTGATTGCTGTCACATTTTCTAAGCACAGGCTAGTTTAATAGCAAAGTACTAGATGACTGTTACTTTAACCAATTATTGTAATTGGATCACATTTCTGTCTTGCTGAAATAAATCATTTCCTAAATACATTTTATCCCAAAGAGCTTTTGTTGCATTGAACAGGAATCTTCGTATCCATCAACTAAATTGTCACATTCATCTGCTATTTGCTGGGAATGAGCAATATTAGCTGGATTAAAATGCTACAACATTTAGAAATTTCTGCTTATTTAATGCTATAAGGATTTATTTTCTTGACAATAAAGCTTTAGATGGCTCTGTCCTAGTGAGTCTCTAATTTATTATTATTATTATTATTATTATTATTATTATTATTATTGATGCAAATTTGGGTAATCAAGCGACCCCATGAACCAGCCCCGCTGTTTGCTAGGAGCATTATTCTGAACTGACAAGCAGAAGAAAGATGCTACAATAGAGGAAGGGAGGAGGGAGAGAAGGGACGGGCTAAGGTCCTGTCTATAGCTACTTTATTCAAAGCAAGCTCTAGGATATTGTACAGTGCACCCCTTCCCACATCAAGAAAGAAGCAGAGATGAACTGTCTCCTCTCACAGAGTTTACCATCTTTAGATGTCCATCAGCAGTCAGAATTTTTGTTCATTTGTGATTTTATGAAGTGACTCTAATTCCAACCTCCAGCATGGGCTAGCTGAACAGTAAACTATGGACTATGAAACTGAAATCCAATGAATTATTTACTTGGATCTCACTTCAAACTTAAACAACTAAACTACATTTTCCAAATGCATTTTATCCAGGGGAGATTTTCTTGCATTGAACATGGACCTTACGGTCCTAGGACTTTTTATCCTTTTGTGAAACTGGTATTATGAGACAAAATGCGTGGAGACAATGGTGGTGGCTAGCTAGAATTTGTAACGAGAAATGCCAGCTTACAACTAAGCCTCCTGGGTGTTCATTTGATTCATTGTCGAGTAACTCTTTTCAATTACAGATGAAGACGTACCATTTTTTTGAGGATTCTTAAGAACCTTTGATAGTCAAGTGAGCAGAAGACTATCACGGTATACGCTATGGAGAAGTAAAGAAAGAACATGTTCAATGAGACTTATTCAGATGATTCCAGTATGGATTACTATTATTATAACTACAATAACTCCTTCTCTGAAGAACCACTTTATCTCTTTCCTGTAAAAGTGCTAACAGGGATAACCGTCACATGCGTCCTTCTGTTTGTCATAGGGATACTTGGAAACATAATGACTATGCTAGTTGTGTCAAAATACAAGGATATGAGGACTACCACCAACTTGTATTTGTCTAGCATGGCTTTCTCAGACCTCCTGATTTTTCTCTGCATGCCACTTGACCTGTATAGGCTCTGGCAGTATAGACCCTGGAATTTTGGGAGCCTCCTCTGCAAACTCTTCCAGTTTATTAGTGAGTGTTGTACATATTCTACAATCCTAAATATCACTGCACTGAGTGTGGAGAGGTACTTTGCAATATGTTTCCCTTTGAAAGCCAAGGTTGTCATCACTAAAGGGAGAGTGAGGCTGGTCATCTTTGTACTTTGGGTAGTATCGTTTGTAAGTGCAGGACCCATCTTTGTCCTGGTTGGGGTTGAACATGAGAATGGGACAAATCCTCTTGACACAAATGAATGCAAGGCTACAGATTATGCCATCAAGTCTGGGCTCCTAAATATCATGGTGTGGACCTCTAGTGTATTCTTCTTTCTGCCTGTGTTTTGTCTCACGGTCCTGTACAGCCTGATCGGCAGAAAACTCTGGAGAAGAAAGAGAGATGCTATGGGGCCAAGTCTGTCTCACCGAGACAAGAATAACAAACAGACTATAAAAATGCTAGGTATGATTATGTTGTTCTCTTGTGTGTTGTGGCTACAGTCATTCACCACCCATTGTTGTGGCTACAGTCATTCACCACCCATAGGGGGGTGAGGGAGGGCCCCAAGGTAACTGCTCCTCTTGAGAAGTATGGGGAACTTATGTTTGGATGGGAGCAGGGGCTAACTGAGGGGCCACCTCCACTCTGTTCCCACAAATCTTTACCCAAACTTTTAAAAAACAATTGTCAGGATCATCACTTGTTAAGTTTGCTACACATACAGGGAAAATGAGCATTTAACTGTTCTTTCTGTCAGGCAAGAATTAGGACATCATTATTAGTGTCATAGCAGAAGCTGAATGCCTAAATGTGCTCAAGTTTTTGTCCTTTGTGCAAAATGAATGCTTTTGTTTGTGTAAATGTATGTGTCAAGCTTTTAGAATTTGTCATGAAATGCAGCAGTGCCCTTCCTGACTTGGGGCTCTGGAGTCACCGTTGGCACCTCTTGAGTTATAGTGACTTGTACAGTTAACTTATAACAATACATATGAAAAATAATACATTTTGTAAGACAGAGACCAGCATATATCCTGTTTTAACTGATTCTTGAAAACTATAAAGATTTTTGTTAATTCTGTAGCTAAGCTTTTAGATAATCTAAAAACTATGACTCCCATCAATCTCAGATCATCAGACAGCAGTATTTCTATTTTCTTTTAAATTCATGTTTTTCATTTAAACTTCTTATAGAACCCTTTTGATACAACCTATCCCCCCCATATCTCCTCCTCCCTCCCCCCCCCAAAAAAAAATCAATTTTTCCAAGGAATATTAAGTTGTAGTTAAGTAGAATAGTCCTTAGAATGTTAAGTAATCTTAACAATCTGGAGAACAGTAAACTTTGCCAGCAGGCAAGTGACTACCATAAGTCTTAGCAAGCTGGCAACTTGCTCTCCCATCATTTCTTCTGGTAAAATATCTCACATTATGGTATTGCTAAAGAATGGCAGTCTATGGCAGCTTTTCTACAATAGGTTGCCCATATCTTACAGTCCAGGGACTGTACCTATGTCAGTGGTTCTTAATAACTGGTCCAGGGCCTAAAACTTTATCCCTATGCAATGGGTTCTTATTATTTGGAATAAAATCACCATATTTGTCTGATTCCAGGCACCTGTCCACTGTTTACTGTAACAGCACTGCCTCTCCCAGTGCTGTACAGACTCATTTGACATTCTGAAGAGTCTTTGCAAGGTACTTTGCAGAATTAATGTTAAACAACTAAAGAATTTGTGATTGAGCTAATAGCCGGCAAAATGTCAGAGCTGCGTAAATAGTTCAATAGTTGAATGTTTCCAGCCCAACTTGCTTGCTCCACATGGTTATTCACTAAACTTCTAATCACAGGGAAATTACATCTCAGACGTGGATTTAAGGCCAATGCAGCTGAGATGAAACATAGGTAATTAGTCCATTTATGCATATTACGACTTAATCTCCAAATTATGAGGTTTATTTACTAAACAATAAATTGTTGTGAATTGCAAATATAGGCTAAACGATCCAAGTAATGGTTATATAGTTAGCTTATTTAATAATATTCAGGTATTTAATTTTATATATATACATATATATATATATATATATATATATATATATATAAATAAAATATATATTTATGTTAATGATACACAGCCAATTTTACCTACATGTCTCTGCTTGATTTTCGAACACTATAATTCAGTATTTTGTGAATATGAATGAAATCTATATTTAATAATCCTAAGTGATTTCAATAAAATATGAGGTGGGGAGGATTTGAATGGTTAAATAAGATTGGGAGTGTAGCTCACATAGTAGCTATGGTTTGCTTTTCAGGAATTAATTTGGCTTTGACAGACATCAGATAGCGTTTTTTTCATACTTTCTCCATTTATTACATTAACTGTCTCGATGCTGGAGTGAACCCATAGGGGTAACACAATTCCCAAAGTTAAAATAAGTTGTGTCATAAATACATTTTCCTAAATTGAAATCTCATATGAATCCTTGCTGGGGATTATAGCTCAGTTAATAGTGTCCAAAGAATGTTCTTCTGTATTTTAAAATAGCCCCAAGCTGAGTTTTCCCATTAAACTCTGAGCTGAAAGGAACATTTTATGGTCATTTTCCAGAGCATAAAACGTCAATTTTTGCTCTGATTATAATGGGAAAACTCAGCTTGTGGATACAGAAGCAACCATTTCATATCAGTTTGTGATCCAGCAGAATATGAGTGGATCTGCATACCCTAACGGAGAGGTAAACCTTACTGTTTCTGAAATTGAATGTGTTTAAAACAAAGGCAAGCAAAATAATTGTTTGTCTAATACAAATGTTTTGCACCGTGTTCCCATAGAAACGTATAATTGGGCTCTGTAGCTACCCGTGACCTTTTATCTTATTGGTTGGGCGTAATGTCCCTTGAGCCCATGCTTACGATTTTGAAAATAAGAGAAACTTGTAAAAAAAATCCCTGTTTCTTTTTCTTTGCCACGTTCTGCCGTGCTACACTGCATCTTTTGGAATAGGAGGCAAATGTCTTTAAAGGGTTACTCCAAGCATGGTAACCACTACAGTCCGGGCTTCGGGACTCCTCTCCTTCTCAGTGGCATGCTTCCAGCTTCTACAGAACTGAAGCCAGATGCAGCTCCAGTCACAATTCATTGGTTGAGAAGGTCAACTGGATGCTTTTAGCCAGCTAACGGTACATTGTGCAAAAAAAAAATTGTACAGAATTGACATTAGCCAGAACACGACTTTTGTTCCCAGCTGGATAATGATACTCCTATAAGGCTACTAGAGGTGGACTTTCATAGCCAAGTGGTTAAACTCGGTATGTGTCGTGTGACTCCAGGCATCACCATCACTTCATATCACTTAAGTGGTCATGGTGCTTGGATTAACCCTTTAAAGCTGTTGCAATGCACATTCACAATTAAAATGCTCAACAATAGATGCAAAGCTACAATAGAGTGGTAGGAAGCAATGTTATGTCACTATATGCAGACGTACAACATTGACCAAAACATGCAAGTTCCCAATGCATTGCAGGCAGACAAGTTAAATGCAAGCTTTACAAAAGTCCTGTTTAAAAAGGACAGGTTTACAAAGTGTGCATTTTATAGTGTGCCTTTTTTGTAATGCAGTTACATTCTGTTTATCACTGTATTGACAGGCTAGAGTAGGAGAACCCTCTTGCAGGTGGTTCTCCTGCTTAGCCTCATAACAACTACAGCGCATCTGCTTTAAGATCACAGGAATGGTAAAGTGAATTGCATCAGTGAAGCGTACAGGTATATAGGTGGATGGAAAATATTAGGGACACTGTAGTTACCAAAACAACTACAGATTAATGCTACGTCCCTGCAGACATTATAATGTAAACACTGCCTCTTCATACTAAGGAAAGCATCGCATTGGCTGAGATCATCAAAACTAATGATCTCATCAAATGAGGTGAATCATAGGCGAGGCCTACCCTTTTCAGGAGCAGCAAGGGGGACTGGTAACATAAACTGTGTTTTCACACTTATTGTAAGCCTGACACAATATCGTCCTTTAAAATGTTTCCATCATTTCTCCAGTATGAAGGACTAAACACGTGACCTCAAAATAAACAAAATTATTATTAATCAGGATACAGTCAACATTTCAGCCGCATTACCTTGATGTGTTGCTATAAATCTGATAATGAGACTCAAATGTTGACTATATGTTTGTATTTCTGCTTAAAATATGGAAATTATTTTAATTATTCTTAAAATGAACCTGTCATGCCAGAATCTTCCCGTAAGTACTTCATATATAATTTATTTTAAATATAAATGATATTATTAATGTAAACTTTTTACATATAAACTTGCCTCCCATCCAGTACCCACCCGCCACGTCCTCTGCTTTGCGGGTTTTACACTACTGCAATACCCACCTCTGGTCTGCCTGCGCTATCCCTGCATTGTGATTTGATCTGCTTGGGATCACTTCCCTAAACAGGGCAATCATCCTCAACTGACATCTAAACAGAGTCACTCCATTCATATACTGCGTAGTTGGACTACTGACTTTGGCTAGGGAGTAACCATAGAAACCACAGTGAGTGCTCTGGCTTTGCTGTATTTGGAGAGCAGAAGGACTGCCTGTAGGAGCTCTCTATAGCTCTCACTGTCAGTCATTTCTTCAGAACAGAGGGCTGTGCTGAAGAATTAATTGACAGGTAGGCGAAAGAGAATGTTATTGAGAATACCTCTATGTTTTAAACTAGATATTTACACTGAATATATATTTAATGTCTGTAGATGTTGGAAGCCTGTGTTAATGAAGAGTTTTCCTATAAAACCATTGTTAAATACATTAAAAAAAAAACTTACATCAGATACTGATTTCAGTGTCATATCAATCCTTTGACATGCATTCAGTGTCATGCCAATCCATGTGAATGTTTGCCGAAAGCTGAGAGTTTCAAGCACCAGTGGCCCCTGATGCCGCCCAACTATCTTTGGACCCTAGGGCCAGCTTTACATACCGTTACTTACAAAGTACTGATATCTCTGGGTCTTCATTCTAGGTGCCACCATCTTCAGTTTTCTAAGATGAAGGCACCCAGGAATGGCATTATCTACCCATAGATGGATGTGTGAAAAGGGGATCAGGTGCTTGCACTCAATTGACTCCAATGATTGGGTGAGAGTCAACAGTGAGAATGAGTTACGCACCGCTACAGGATGTGACACGATGCTGAAGGGAGGTACATGGATCCAGGGTCAATTACAAAGTTGGCAAAAGCAGTTTGAAGAAAGCTCCAACCTTTCTCAACTTTCGTCAATCTTCACTTATACAAAGTAGTCCCTACGTTTCCTTATGTATACCTTTAAAATAAAGCATGTTTTAAAAAAAAGGGGGCCAATTAAGGGGGGGATATGGGACATGTTGATATAAAAAATAAAGTGGCAGATCTACTTTAACATGGCTGTGAGACCTCACCTTAACTTTCTGCCATCACATTGCTCTTTCTGAACTGTCTTTTACATGTAAGAACTCTAGAGTTATTGTCTTTAAAGCTACACTCCAAGCACCAAAACACCTTTAACTTAATAAAGTGGTTTTGGTGTATAGACCATGCAGTCTCACTGCTAAAGGGAATCTATAGTGTTAGGCAGTGGCAGTGTTAGCCCTTGGGCCCCCCACGCCCCCTTGCCACCACCCCTCCCCCCCCCCACTCACTCAGCCCATCCTCCCCTGGCAGATGTCCCTTGGAGCATGGTTGGTGCTCCGCCTCCTCCAAAATCACCTATAAGTGGGCTAATACACATGCACGCAAAGCACTGTGAGCTCATTAGGGTTCCTAATGCAGAGCATGAAGATGTCCAGCATCATTTTGGGGACCAAAATTCCATTAGCAACCAGGAAGTGCCTGTAGTGGCTGTCTAATTGACAGTCAGTAAAGGCAGTCTTAGTCCTGCAATGTAATTATTGCAGTTTCTCGAAAACAGCAATGATTTACATTGCAAGACTAAGTCGGACACGTACACTACACCCACAACCCTTCAATGAGATGAAGTGGTCTGGTTGACTATCGTGTCCCTTTAAATCACTTTGTTTATGCAGACATAGCTACACCTCCCCTGACTGAGACTCCCACGTCCTGAAAAAGAGATTAAAGAAGCACTACAAGCACCATAACAACTATAGCTCATCAGTAGAGCCGTGGCACCCTCCTATTGCAAGGAGCGATCAGCTGATGCTCTCAGCCAATGAGCTAAGCCCTGTTTTTGTTGAGGCACTTATAGCTCATAGGAGATGGTAGTAGGGGGCTTTGACTGGTAGAACCCAGGTAGGAAGTCAAACCATTCACAAACTATGCAAGCTGTAGTGATTATGGTTCTTGGATTGTTCCTTTGCTTTATTTAGCTTCCCTTACTGCACACCGTGTTTAATTTAGAATTTCTTATCTCCTGATCTGTTGCCAGCTAAAGCAGTCTCCTGTGTGTTATTCAAATTCAATTAACATACAGGAGACTTCAAGAACTTCTAACGTAAACACACTATGCTGTACAATTTAAACCTTTTTTCATGGAGACTGTGTGAGTCAAGGTCTGGGAAGTTGTGACTGGGGTTACATAGACAGAAACATAGGTGGTTTAACTCGAAAATGGCAGAGATATCCGTATAGTAGCAGTATTTCTGAGTTACAATTCCCTGCTCTTGAAAGGCCGTATTAATTCCCCAAAACATTTATACAACTTTAGCTGAACAAATAATTAAGGTCCCAAAATAGGTTGCAAATGGAAAAGCGCAGCCTTTGTCAAAATAGTCTGCATTCCATTATCCCACCACTGTATAAAACACAAAAATGCCTATTATCATCCTGCAAGCGGGCTTTAACATTAAGTCGTTATATGATTCAAATTCATTATCTAACTGTGGTTGTAACCGTTACTCTTTGAAAACATTCAAATGCAAATTGTCAACAATAAATGCTGTGAATTCAGTCACGCATTAACATATTTTACAGGTTGCAAAGTGAATGTGATTATTTATAGTTATTTTGATGTGAAACTATGTGTATGCATAGTAATAACATAATATTCCTTTAAACACTGTTTATACCAACAACAAAAAAACAGATAATGTTCCGTTCTGAATTCCTCTAAACACATGAAAATCTGCACATATTGTTGATCACACAAACAGAGCAGGAAAGAATATTTATATCACAAGAACAGCTGGGAGATACATTGCCAAAAGTTGACCAGAGAATGTAAACATTTCAGCCAATATAACAGATATGGAAAAAATGTTGGTATTTTCCCAGCTTGGCATATTTTGGCCTACAAGTATGGATTGCCAACAATTCACAATTTAGTGCAGGGGTAGGCAATCTTTGGCACACCAGATGTTGTGGACTACATCTCCCATGATGCTTTGCTACCATTACGGGAGAGTAGGCCACAACATCTGGAGTGTGGACGCTTGCCTGCCCCTGGTTTAGTAAATTCTCTGACAGTGAACACTTTCAAGATGCAAATTTCCGAGATTATATAAACACTTTATTTGCGTATTGCTTCATCTGGCAGCAAACGGCTAAAGTTAGCACTCACGCTAGTTTCCATATTTTCTTTATTCTCCCACACCCAGTGACAGGATTCACACAGGGATTTATTCACTAAACTGAGAGTTTAAAAAGAATTGATGATAATTGGACATGCTAGGCCAATATAACCAAAACCTTTAGGAGATTAGCGGTTTTGGCCAAACATTGGTAATTACCTTCTCAATTTGAAAAAAGGTGTGCATTTATATATTTTTTCTCTTCTTTCATTGGTAACTGGAATCGGGTTATTCACTAAAGTGAAATCTGACAGGAAGTCAAAATGAATTTCAAAGTGTAGAACAAAATATGCAAATTAGAAAAATTATTTAAAAAGAAATACAAATTCAATTTTCAGTTTGACTATTTGGCCTTAAATGTAAGATTCACTTTGAATTTCCAGCTATTAGAACATTAGTAAACAACTGTGTAAATGCACAATATGTTCTGCCTGGTGTCACTGTGTAACACGGACTCTCTTTTCTCTTCCAGCTGTGGTTGTGTTTGCCTTCATTCTTTGCTGGTTGCCCTTTCATGTAGCACGCTACTTGTTTTCCAAATCGTTTGAAGCTGGTTCCTTGGAAATTGCTGTGATCAGCCAGTATTGTAACCTGGTCTCTTTTGTGCTGTTCTATCTGAGTGCTGCCATCAATCCGATCCTATACAACATTATGTCGAAAAAATATCGCGTAGCTGCTTGCAGGCTTTTCAGACTGAGAAATAATTCACGAAAAGCCCCTTATACAACAAATGATGAAAGTTCTCCTGCCTGGACAGAGTCCAATATTAGCACGTGACAAGAACTATCTCCATACGGGAAATGTGGTCAAATGTTCACACGTCGACAAAGAATTCATACCGCACCAGAAAACATTGCCAAAACCAATGAGTGGATGCTTAATTTGCACAGGCACTAAATACACAGGGTTAATCACTAAAGTGAGAATTCAAAATTATAAAAGATAGCGGTTCTGCTATCTCACCCTTAGTTTTTAAATATAATTTTTAATTTATTCTGAAGTCTCACTTTAGATAATAGTGGGAATGTTTGAACTCAGGATATGAATAAAAAAAAAAAAAAGAATGTTTGAATGAATGTTCCTGTGTGAGTGAGGGATGTTGCTTTAGTGGACATTTAATTTATTTATGTTATTTTCTTTTAATAAAATATTAGACAAATATTTTTGTATGAAATAGTTTCTAGAGATAAAAGAGTTGAATTCATATAAATGGTGTTTCAGAAAAAAAGTGAATGCATGTCATACACTCCGTTAATCTTTGATTTGGTAAAATGAAATGGCACAATAACATATGCTTACTACTGTTTCCTAAGAAAATATGGCTTATGACAAAACTTTATAATTGCAGTGGTGATTTGTATCCTAAACTGCTGGAAGTTCTCTCACTCCTTTTAGGTATTAAGGTGGACCCTCAAATCTGTACTCATGCGTTGTGGACGGCCAAATGTGGAAGGACAAATATTGTCCAGCCATAACTTCTAAACATTGCAAGAGCAATGAGAGTTGGGGTCTGACAAAAGATAGAGGACTACAGAATGGCTATCCATGTTTCAGTGAGTGATTGAGATACGACTTAATGTACTGTCAGTTCAGTGTGCGGAGTGCCGCTAAAATACATTCATTATTGTGACACATTTGTTCTGCTTCTGTAACCCCTATGATTTACTCTTCAGAGACCATAGGTCAATATGTTCAGTAATGTCAAATGTTCTAGTATAATCAGCTGGAGAGCATGATAGAACAATTCTAATAAATATATTATGAAAACCAGAAATGGGACAGTGTTTTGTTTATCAATGCATGCTTTTATAATACACCTTAATATACAAAGTAGGGTTTGCAAACTCACTGCTGGGTTTTGATATTGTGGGCTTTTTTTTTTGATCATGAGAACTTTGTAAATTCACATTTTGACACTTGACTTTGTTATTAATAGTATGTTGATAACTTGGTCCCCTATTTTCCAGAAAGGAGTCCTCCTATCCCCTGAATGAGTGCCTATTGCTGGAGTTGTCAAAATATCAGGGTCCCACCGACCCTATTGACCAAATGTGTAAATTGGTGAAGTTTTAAATAATATGATTGAGTCCTTTAAAGGTCCCATTATAATTATTACTAAGAGATCCTGAACAGTGGTTCCCTTGTACTTATACTCTATCCATACTCTATTCATAGGGCAAAGAGAGACATATAATGCAGCAACCACCAGCTCTGTCCCCTAAACATGCCATGTCTCTTCCCTTGAGGTTGATAAGAGGCATTAAACCCTATAGGTACAGGACCTCTGTAGAGAAGTAGAGTGATTTAGGTTAGGGAACAAAAGATTAAAGAAAGGAAACAAAATGATCCCTGGAGAATATTGTTAAAAATAAAAGGGGGACACAGTTAGAGAAACTAAAGTCTGGGGAAAGAAAAGATTCTAATGAAAAAAATAGGGAACAAATGCTGGTGATGAGGAAACAATGGAGTCTGTGGGTGATAGAAAGGAAGAAATGAATTAGGAGAAAAATAATAAGAGAAACACATGCCATACAAAAGGGTGGAGGCTAAACGCTTTCATTGGTCCCAGTAACGTGAAACCGATAACCTGATGATTTCTAAATGCAAAATAGATAAAAAGTCTTTCAGGGTACTTTCTCAGAACAAAATAGAAAAAAATAGAGGCTGTGCAAATAGTTGCTGTGTTCACAAAACAAGGTGCTACTACCATTTATTTGAAGGACAAACAACAAACGTTTCGGGGTAATCCCTTTGTCAATGCATCATGTCCCTCCCCCATACAACACACTCACGCATTTAAATACAAAATAGACATTGGATAAGTCCATAGCCACCACACTCTCTCCCCAAAGTGAAGAAATGGAGTCCTCCTAGAGTCCGGCCGCAATCTTGCAGTGTTTCCCAGCATGCCGCGTTCATCACGTTGTGCATGATGACGTCATATGTAGTGCCGTGCATCATGACATCACGTTGCTAAGCAACGATAAACAAACATGAGAACATGCTTAAGCCCGATCTCCTGGCTGTATAGGAGACCAGTAAAGACAGAAACAAGCATTTTATATTCCATAAAGGTCAGAATTAGAGCCAGGCAAACAACTAGCATAGTAACAAAAGAGTAAACAGGAATAAATACACAAAACTAGAACTATTTACAAGCACCAGAAGGAACCCCCATTCTAATGATGTGTGAATACAAAATACAGTGATATTTACATATACACATATTATACACATATTATATTTCCCTAAAAAGGAGGACAATAGTCAGGGGAAATGCAGAGAACAGCCCTACAATGTAAAATATAGCAGGGAGTAAAAGAAGACTATCTAACAAGAAAAGGACCGTTGTAGACACAGGATCTTAAAGGGACAGGCGCTATATGAAAGAGAAGATCGCCCAAGCACAATAATGTTGTAACCCATAATTAATAATCAAATGTAAAGCAAACAATAGAATCTTACTTACAAGAAAGGGTACCCTTTCCAGGACCTGATATCTGAGTTGTGACGCATTGTGTCGAGCTACAGGCGTGCCTGCTTTAAGACTGTGGATGGTTGTATTGTGCTGAGACATGCGGTCCTTTAGTGCATGTATAGTTTTGCCCACGTAGCCTAAGCAACATTGGCATTTGAGAAAACAGATTACGAAATCAGTATGGCAAGTAAGTTTACCTGTCTTGGATTGTGTCCAATATTCCCCTTTGATAATTCTGCAGCAATGGTTACAAGAAAGGCAGGGGAGTTTTGACAAGAATATTTGCTTGCTTGGTGTAAAGCTGTCAGCGTTAACAACCATATTTAGAAGCAATAAAAATTATTTCAGGGTACTTTCTCAATGGGGTGAGTTGTTGCCCACTGGAGTCCTATGGTTAGCTGTTGGCTACTTGTCGGTTATCACTCTTGGAAAAAAGAAAACCATGTACGATGGCTGCATATTATTATTATTACTAATTCCGCACCCTTTACAATAGTATGAAAATGGGAGAAATTTACAATACATGAGTCAATTACACAGTGACACAGGAACAATAGGTAGATGAGGACCCTGCTCAAACGAGCTTACAATCTAGATGAGGTGGGATACAAATACACAACAGGGCAGCAAGGGTGACAGCTACCAAACAAGGTGGAAAGGTAACAGAGCTGGAGGTGAGAGTGGAGTATGGCTCTTTCGGAGAGCAAGAGACAGATTTGGATAAGTATAGATAAGTTACTCTGGGAGTCCATAAGCATTTCTGAACAGATGTGTTTTGAGGGACTTGGAGACTAGGGGAGAGTCTGATGGCGGTAGGCAGGCTGTTCCTAAAGAAGGGAGCCAGCCGCGAGAAGTCCTGCAAGCGCGAGTTAGCAGTAAGGGTGCGAGCAGCAGACAGGAGAAGATCACTGGCAGAGCAGAGAGACCGAGAAGGGGCAAATCTATGAATCAGGGAAGAAATGTAAGTGGGGCTAGTGTTGGTTAGAGCTTTATAGGTAAGGGTTAGTATTTTGAATTGACACCTATATGATACAGGAAGCCAGTGTAAGGATCGACAGAGGGGCAAGGAATGGAAGGAACGACGGGTAAGAAAAATCAGCTTGGTGGCAGCACTTATTACCGATTGTATTGGGACAATTCAGCTTTTGGGGAGACCAACTAGGAGAAAATTACCAGAACGTGAACAAGCTCCTTGGCAGCATCTTGTGTGAGAAAGGGACGGATGCGGGCGATATTTTTAAGGTGGAATCGACAGATTTTAGCAACATACTGGATATGTGGCGCAAAGGTGAGGCCAGGATCAAGGATAATACCAAGACAACGAGCTTGCAAGGATGGGCTGATGCAAGCACCATCAACTTGCTGTGAAAACGAAGGAAGAGGATCAGCATTATGAGGGGGGAAAATAAGACGCTCAATTTTAGAGATTGAGTTTCAGAAAGCGGGAGGACATCCAATCAGAAATTGAAGAAAGGCAAGCAGTGACATGTTGCAGGACTGCGGGGGAAAGATCATGGGGGGAGAGATATGTCTGGATGTCGTTAATGAGTTTGCCAAGAGAGACAGTATAAAGAGAGAACAGAAGGGGACCAAGAACAGATCCTTGGGGGACTCCAACGGAGACAGGGCGAGAGGAGGAGGTATTATTGCAAAAGGAGCCACTAAACAATCGTTGGGAGAGATAGGAGGAGAACCACAAGAGGACAGTGTCACAGAGACCAAGGTATTGAAGAGTTTGGAGAAGGAGGACATGATCAACAGTGTCAAAGGCAGCAGAGAGGTCAAGAAGAATTAGTATGGAGTAGTGGCCTTTGGATTTAGCTGCGATTAGGTCATTTGTAACTTTAATAAGAGCAGTCTCAATAGAGTGGAGGGGGCGAAAGCCAGAATGAAGAGGATCGAGGAAGGAGTTGGAATTTAGGAAGTGAGTCATACGAGTAAAGACAATTCTTTCTAGAAGTTTTGAGGAAAAAGGAAGCAGGGATATGGGACAATAGTTGGAAGGGGAAGACGGGCCTAGGGATGGCTTTTTTAGGATGGGTACAGCAGTAGCATGCTTAAGGGGAACAGGGACAACACCAGATGAAAGAGAGCAGTTTAGGATGTGTGTTAAGGATGGTACAAGACAAGTGGAGAGTGATATGATAAGGTGGGAAGGCACTGCATCAAGCGGACAGGTGGTGGGACGAGAGGAGAGGAGAAGCCACCTCCTGTTCTGTAGCTGGAGAGAAGGCCTGTAGGGTAGGGAAGGTATGGTCCATGTGTGGTTGCAAGAGGGAAGAGCAAAGGGGGGAGAATT